TATCAGCCTAGTAAGTAGAGTGATAAATGGCGATCATAAGGCGTTTAACAACGTTAGAAGGAAGCGCTTTTCGATATGAACGCTTTTAGGAATTTGTATTGCCAATTCCGTTAGTAGCATTCAATACTATTATTGATACTATTATTCTAAGGTTAGTAGGACCCAATATCACCCTCTATGAAGTTTCCAATGGCGTCCTGTGTAATATATGGAACAATATTTTGAGATGAGGACTTTTATTCTTAGATATCATTGTGTAAACAATGGAATAAAGGGCAGATATAAGAGGCAATGACAGCTCTCAGAAACAAAATGGGCGGTTGCCGATGGATTTGGAGAGTGCAGAGTCAAACAATTTTTGAGTACATGCGCTTCGGAAGAGTTTTCTATGGGGTTCAGCTGTAGCTTAGGATCAGAATCTCTGGTATCACCAAAGGGCCACTTGCAAGTACAGAGACTTTACCCTGAGTCACTATGTGGAAAGTGTGGACTGATTTGTTATTAGTTATTACTCCTTTCAAAAATGCCTTAGGGGAGTAAGTAAAGGAAATGAAACTGAAGGCCTTAATCTGCAAGCATCAAGAAAGAAAGGAAAATAAGACGAGATATTTCTTCAAGTGTTCAAAGCATTTAAGAATTTAAAACTGGCTTTTTAAAAATGTATCTTCTTTTTGTATTTGTAATCATGCAAAACATAAAAAGCAAAGTTTCAAAGTTTATTGACACTTTTGGAGGTGTAATTTGGAATATCATAAGATGAAATGAGGAATGTTTGGAACAACTTTTTCAAATGCGAACAATCACATTTTTCTCTTATTTTCAATGGGTACAGTGATTGGAACGTGTACTTGAATGTCGGATGAACAATTGAATGAGACGAACTTGAGGGGAACTGAGATGAACTTAAAGTAGTATCATTATTCAAAAATTTTCGAAGATGAGTATATTTGGGCCTCTTACCTACCACATGCAGTGGTGATATGTCATAGTCATATTAAATTTTCATTATTTTAGTGGCTTAATTCTGTGAATTTTCACTCCGTAAATTAAGGTAGAAATTATACGTCGATTTTTCTAGTGTCCCGTGACAGGTCATTGTTACAACTCCTGCCTTATAAAATGAATCTTTTTAACAGTGGAAAGCACATTTCCGAGACCACGAGCCCCATTGAGAAGGGTGTTTGCGAATAAACTAAAAATATTAATTTTATCAGGTAAGAGGTGTAAAAATGAATAAATATCATCGACCACTATAGAAAAATCTAAGTATAATTGACCGAAACGGATTAGGTATCAAAACACATATTCCCGTCTCTTTTTTTTTCAAACATAATTTACACCATAGGCCTACATGCACAGCCCATGTGTCGGGCGCTTACCACTTGTACCAATTGCGAGTGGTGTCCCGGTGGGGGAGAAGCCTGGAAGGCAAAACGCCGCGAGCCGACGTGTATATAGGTCGGCGCCGGATCTCACTTTCTGCGGAGATACACCGCCCCCTCTCGGGATATAACACGCACTTCACTTATGGAACAAATGACCTAAGCCGTTGTCGCGTGGAATCAACGTCACTCACTCGAAAATGCCCTTTCTTGTAAAGAACATATCTCCAGAAAATAAAAAGATCCATTTAAAATTGAGGAGCGACATCAGTCAGATCCATGGACGAATGTACCTTGTGGTGAAAATCCTGTGTAGGGGAAGTGGGGAAGTCTCATTTTGTCTTTTTACTATAAATCAGTATCACTTGCTTTTCTAGAGCTGTGCAAAACAGCCAAACCTGCTTCAAACCGTATGTATTTGATCATAACTAAACAACAAAGGGTAAACACAAAATATGTACATTAGAAAATATATGACAAAATAATATTACTACGAGTAGAAGCAAAATTCCAATTAAGTAAATTTTATTTTACCGTATTTTAGTTTTTGATGTTTTGTTAATTTGGTGTGTGTTTAGTGTTTTTATACGACACTCGGGCCCGCGCCAATTTAATTTGCGCCCTTGTGCCCATTTTTGTTTGCCGTCCCCGGGTTCTAATGTTTTAAATTTTGTTACATAATATTAATTTCGCTAATTTTATTTTTGACATAATTGGCCGTAGTCAAGCATCATGTTTCTACCATCTGACTCCGGAATCTTTTTAAAAAAATTGGTGGACATAATTAAGGTTGCCAATCAGAGTCAAGTGGCAACTTCACATTCGCCGCATGAGTAATAAAAGTTACCGATATTTCATTGTACGAAATTGATGAAATCCCCGAAAACTGTATTACATATACTTAGGCCCTATGTATTACTGTATTTATTTTTTAGACCTATAATTTAACACTAAAAGTGAGTTTTTATGTTAAAATAATATTTTTTTAGAGTAATATTTTTCCTTTAAAATAAAAATGTAAAAATTACGCAGATATTTTTAAAAAATGTCTTCATTTTTGCCGCCCTTTGCCGCTCTTGAACGGCGCACCGCTTGCATTAGAGTTGGCGCGGTCCTAACGACACTCCCATCCTGTAACACACAAATGTCATCATTATCCATATTACCTCGAACGTTTAGTAAGGTTTTTGTTTGTTTGTGTGTGTGCGTGCGCGCGATTTGAGCAGAAGAATCCTTAACATCATTATGTACAGTTACTATGACCAAGACGCAAAGAGTCTTCCTTCTTCCTTTTTCGCTTACTTGAAGAGATTCGTATTGCCTTCTTTCATTTGCATTTTTGACTGCTTTCATTTTCAACACTTCTTTGTGAGGTGTCTCTGAGAATAGTGCGGAATACATTTTTCTCGAATTTCCATATTCAGAAAAGGAAGTCAAGGTAAGCAAGGGAATATATCTGGGGAAAAAATAGGACTTCCAGTCGAAGTTGAATATTTTTGAAGGTCTAATGACCATTCAGCTTTATTGGTCGTTCGTTTACGTTTTATGGGCATATATAAGGGAAAAAACTCTTTTAGATTGATAAATTATTTTCTTTGGGTCAGTGGTAATCTGTACCCTCAGCATTACCCTACAAGCACAGTTTTATGTATGCTTATAACTGTTCATAAAATACATAACTCGCTTAAAACTACTCGCTGTTAGCAGAAAATAATTTTCTGAAGTGCAAGAACGTTAAATTCTTCAACAAATATCCAAGTCAACGTGAGTGAGAGCTGATTTTGTGAGAGCAGTTGCTAACATGAACAATTCACTTTGTCAGCCCTTTATGTCGCCGTGGTCGTCAAAAAAACAGTCGTTTCTCTTCACTGATCATCTGCCTCCAATTGTCAAAGCCATCGGTAGGAAGCACGACTCCCTTCTCCCTAAATTGCTTTGTTAACGATATTTACGGCTGACCCTCATTGCCCCTTCTTCCCCTATGCTACCAGCTTAGTTGGCTCATGACATCAATCGATGTCGCTACAATGCCTCTGACCAGGAGATCATGGGGTTCGAGTCCCGATGGTGGCAGGATTTTCGATTCGAGCTACTTAGATAAGTTGGTCGAATTCAGCCAATGTCTGGAGAATTCTAGCGGCCGGCTACTCTGATCGATATTTTTCTGTGGTTTCTCAAGGCAAATGCAGGAGCAGTTACCCTAACGAACGGGCCACAGACCGCGCACGATCTTGCCTTCCTTTCTTATCCTGTTCTCACCTCTTTATGTATACTCACACGCACTACATTGACACATCAGTCGGGAGCCTAGAGCTTGTCTCGGTTGGGTCGGTGCCCTGCTGATGGGAGACTTCTAATTAGGGAAAATACGCGAACCGACGTGTAAGACGGCGCCGTATCTCGCTATTTAGCGGGGAAAGATCACCTCCCGCGACAAGACATTCTCTACACGGACTGAACTAATGACCGCAGCAGTTGATGCGCGCTGAAGGAAAACACAAGGCCGCACACTGATGCAAAGAAACTGCACCGTTTGGTAACCACCAGCGACCTAGAAAACGCTTTTGCTGTCGAAAAAGGCACATTTTCCTGCAGCTTTACATAACTTTCTCTTTCTACGAGATAGATTTAAGAATGTAAATATTTTGAACCAATTTAGAGAAATTTTCGAGAAAGGGGCTTTGTGTGAAGTAACTCCAAAAATTAAAAGATTCACTTAAAATTTACAGGGCTTAATTCTAATGTCGCCAGATTATTTAGGGAATATCCATTGTGGAAAAAATCCTGTTAATTGTTTCTATACTAGTATCGTTCACAGACTAATGAAAGGAGAGGCAAGTTTTGAGAAAAAATAATTTCTTAGTATCAAAGAACCCCAAAACGCCTTTTTCTAACAGTTATGAAGATGGTTTCATACAGCATTACAAAGCTTTCTCAACACTACATTTATGAGAAAATAAAATTGAGGATAATAAGAGAAAAAATATTTGGTGTGCAGCCAGATCCACTTGCAGTTAGGGTAGTTTATTGTTTCCATCTGTCTCCAGATCCGAGCATGGGTGTAGTTGAAAGCTGACCTTGTATGTTTTCATTAGCTGTCCTATTTCTCAGTCTTTCATTATGTCTTACCCTTCATTGTTTCCCATTGTCATCTACATCATATTATTATTGTGACTGCAGTGCTGGAATAGTTCCATGAGCACATGATTTTGAGTGTGTCTGTCACCATGTTTCACATGCAATAAACAAAATTTTATGAAAATAAACTCTTGAGGATAAAATAAAGATTTTCATTTTTTGTTACCAAAAGATACGCAACCAAAGATGTGTTAATAAAACTGGAATTTTGGTTTTATACAGAAAATATAATTATTTAGAAATATTAAAAATCAAACAAATTGAAGATCATCCATGTTTGTGAGCACAATCTGAATGTTGTGGTGACACAGCAATTGAATGTTTATTCACACTACTACAATAGTAAATATTGTTTTGTCTTTTGAATTGTAATGTGTTGAATTGTCTAAATGATGAGTATATCTCATTCTCTTTCTCAATGTTGGTTCTTATTTAGTTAATGAAATTGTATTCATTAAAAAAACATTTTTTCATTCCTAGATTAAAGAAGACTGTGCAAAATAAGTTGAGCAAAGCCAATGAAGACTTAGAAAAACTGACTCAAGTACAAGCTAATATTTCAAAACTTCAAGGAGAACTTAATCCTCTTCATTCTAAAATTCAGACCTTTGATGAATACGGAGGTGACTGGGAAACTATTGAAAAGTCATTGCAGGTGCGCTTTGTGAATACAGTGTTCTTATGATTAGCAAATTAAGTTACACAGAGTTTGCTTTTATGCATTGTATTTTGTATGTCCAGGAATTGGTTTCACAAGTGAAACAGGCTGTTGGATCTTCAAAAGATTTTATTACTCAAACAAAGGAACAATACACATCCTACCAGCAGTCTACACCTAGTGATATAGTGCAAGAGGTAAGGGAAATTTGTTATGTTTCAATTACAAAATAAATTATTTCATTAAGTTTTTACATTACATTATGTAAACACTAACATCTGTAAACACAACTTTTTAAGGAAATTAATTATTTGAATATTACTTTGTGAAACAAATGTTTTGTTTATGTGGGGTGTCTATAGAATATGAAAGAAAACCTATAAAATCTCTTCTATTACAGAAAACTATTTATGGTTTGAAGAAAAGTATTTCTAAAAACACTTGATGTTTATCTTAATGTTTTGAGCATATTACAAAAGAATTACAAGTCACCTAATAAGTGCAGGCCACAGCCAATAAAAATCAAAAAACTACAAAATAAAATTCAATGACTGAAATTGTGCTTTATTGGGACCAGATGTAAATGCTTTAATTATTAGCAAATACACTTATGCAGTACAAAATTCCAAAAATATTCTGTTTAAAGTGCACAAACACAACACAACACTGCTTCTCAATTTTTACGCTCAATAGCTTCATCGGTCACTTTTATCTTATTATACTGCTCAATGAAATTTCAAATCATATTAGTTTCAACAATGACACTATGCTACTAAATACATTGGCGTTAACACCACATTGTATCACAACTGCAAGAAATCCTTGGCAGCTGTCTTCATACCATAATGTGAGAAGTTCCTTTCTTTTTCACATCCAGTTTCACTTACATTTGTAGGGGAAGCTGCCTATATGACTTGTGAGAGTTCCATTTTTTTATTGAAATGTTTGAGTATGTTTTGAATATATCAGTGTACAAAAAATTCTACTATCAATATTGATTTTGTAAAAGATACATTATAGGAGGAAACTAATATTAAGTTATGATTAGTTTCATATATATCAAGTGAGGTTAATTTACAATTAGTAATGTAAGGTACGTTCCATGTGGCTATAAGAAAATTATTGCAATTAAAATTTTCTTAAATGTAGGAAATTTTGTACAGAAAAATTATTTATTCATTTGTGTCACGTTGAATCGTGTTTCACAAAGCAGCCTTTTCGAATTTTGCTAATACATTTTGTTCTTTTGTATTTAGATGTCTACTCTTGAGTTGTTGGCAGAGACAGTTTCAAATGCAATGGATGAAAAAGAAAGACAAATTAATCGTGTTCACTCACTGCGTTCTGATTATAATAAAGATACTGCAGAGGTTTCAGAATGGCTTCCTCTTGCTGAATCACGTGTTAAAGATAGATCAGTTGAGCCACAGATAATGAAAGATAGTTTATCGGTAAGTAATATATCTTAAAGTAGTCTCCGACTTTAAAAGCTTTAGCTAAAAATGTTTTGTCTGTATTCAATAATAATTTCTGTTACAGCAAATTCAGTCTGAATTGTGTGCAATTGGTGAAAAATTAGAAAGACTTACTAGGAATGGGAACCTCATTTTGGAGAAGACTCAGAATGAAGGAGAACGTAACCTTATCCAGAACACAATTTCAAGCCTTACAGAACAATATTCACAAATAAAATCCTTACTTGATGAGCGAAAGCAACAGGTAAACATTTTGATAGGTGTACCTTACCAGTTTAGACCACAGTAAAACTTTATTTTCAGACAATGCAGTCTCCTTTCATGGAGATAATATAATCATGTATCTTTGTGATTCAATTTTCCTGAGTTTATGTGAAATTATTAGCATATTTTAATAATTGTAAGGTCTAATATCCTTTCACCGTTAAATACTTTTCACACAAATGTTAAGAACTTACATAGAAAGGAAATGTTCTCGAAGTAGTGATAACTATCATGGTCAGCTCCATTTCTTCACTTTAAAAAACAAATCTGAATGAGTATTTATGAGTAGAGTAATAAAATTTTGCTATTTGTAGGTTGGAAATGCACTTGATGCCTGGCAGAATTTTGAAGCTCTGTACAACACTGTTCAAGCATGGGTTGCTGAAAAACAAACATTTTTGGCAGAGCCATTTCAACTCAGTAGTCTGACACAAGCTCGCCAAAGACTGCAAGAATATACAGTATGTTTATTTGTCAATATACAATTATATGATTTTTCCAATGTTTATATTTGATGTATCTCTGTCACAAACAAATCAGTGGACATCTTCAGCATTAATCTAATCCAATATTTCAGTGATAAAATGTCAACTTCAGTTGACCTACACTTTATACTTTTAGCATTTGGATTTTGTAATCATATTTTTTATATATGGTATTGTTCCTTGATGAGTACAGAATATTTGTGTGACTTCAGAGAAGAGTGGTAAGTATGTATTTGATTAAAGTGTAATGATTTGAGTGCATTAATGTTATTACAGAGTGCTGTGAAGAGTTGCAAAGTAGCTACTAAACAAGTGCAAGATATGACAAAAGCTCTTGAGCTTATAGGACAAGTGGCAAGCTTAGGAGATTTATCAGAAAAACTTGATGAAGTGACAGAAGCAAAAGGAGATGTGGAATCGCAACTACTTGAAAGGGTATATTAATTTAGATACTCTTCTTCTATCAATGTCACTAATTACCATACTTACCCAAATATAAGATGAGTTTTTTCCATAAGTCTCATTTAAAAAGTTTGGGTACATCTTATGTAAAGCTCAGTCAGTTGGGATTATGTTTTACATTGTCTTTCCATGTTGACAAACTAACTGCTAGTCATAACAGTTAGCTGCAAGGCTATTAATACAACCAAATTATGTCTACGGATGTATTCTTTGCATCCATCATGGATTTGTTAGGTGAGTTACACCAATATTTTTAAACAGGTTAGTAAATACCTCAAACAAACAGCATTGTAGAAAATGAAATGCACTGTGAAAACGAATGAAAATTATGGTCAAGATTTTGTCAAGATATGGATCTTTATGATGTCACAGTTCATAACTCCATCATGCAAACATTAAATGATGTGAATTTTTAAGTAAATGGTTGTTAAAGAAACAGGAGCCTCAAAGAAGAGCAATGCAGGAAAAAAAATTGATTTCACACAAGGGAATAGGGTGTCAGATGAAAGACAAAGAACACCAATTCAATGCACAAAACCTTTAGGGGTCCATAAATGGTCAGAGGACGATTTATTTATTTTATTTATTTAATTAATTTATTTATTTATTTTTAAATGTTATTTAAGGTTGCATGAACTTCTAGGTCATTAGCAACCAGTATTGCATGTAACGGTATGGTAACTATGAGGATGACATGATATGATGATAGGGGGGTGAAAGGACGAACACAATACAATCATGCCCAAGGAACTCGAACCCATGAGCCTTCGGTCCGAGATCACTATGGCACTACTGCCATAATGATCTCGGCCATCCAGACCGGCAAATATAACTTTCTCATCAGTTTAAAAAAATTCTAGCCAATAAGTCATTTAGAAATTTTATGATGACTGAATAACAAGAATTAGTTAAAAATGAAAAAAATTATCCCAAAGCCTCTTCAGAATTAGGGGGTTGTCTTATATTTAGAGTCATCTTATTGCCAGGTAAATATGGTAAAACAAGGAATAAACCGCATATGTATTACCTAATCAATTAGGTGATTATAGTTGACTCATATTAATGCAAACAAAAAGTTAATTCAAAAGGTTTTTATTTTGCTTCTTTGTACTAGAATGCTTTGCTTCAAGAGACTAGTGAAGAATGGGAACAGTGTGAGAAGAAAATGAAAGATGTTAAATCATGGATTGAAAAATCTCGCCAGTCACTTGATTCACCACTCTATAAGAAAAAACCTTTAAGAGATCAATTGACAATGCGTGAAAAAATGATTGGTGATATGGCTATTCAGAAAAAGAAGATAACTATTTCTGTAGAGAAATTGAAGGTTTGTTAATGGTTTTTTAACATTTAGATATATGGATAATTTTACTTATGCATTAATCATTGATAGTAATGTTTCTCTTGATTAAATAATTGTGTTATACACGCACATACTCACACATACATATATATTAAATTTTGCATTTTTAACAATGTTTCAAAAATTTTGTCCTGTTGGAAGTATAATTCAAATATCAAATTTTCAAATATAACAAGTTCATGAAAGTAGAATTGCAAATTATATGACCTCATTGTTAATACCAGTAAATAAGAAAACTTTTTGTTTTTCTTTGTCTCTCCAAATTGTTGATCCAAATTTAATTATAATAATACATGTGACTGTCGTCATAATAAACTGTGCATTTCTTCTGTCCTCTCTCAAGACAGTCCACAAGTAATCTTTTTATTTGTTTCAAAACCGAAAAAGATTGCTCTGCACTTTGAAATTGGGAGACGCAGATGAATTCTATATATGGAAATTCACCTTAAACTAAATGCTGTACACTATGTAATCATTTATAATTTCACTATATAACATAGTGAAGTGCACTAGCTTCATGTAAATTTGGCATGATAATTCAAAACATTTTTTGAGTTTTAATTATTTCTTCTTTCTAATCATATAATAACGATAATAATAAAAAGATTTTGAAATTGAAGTATCTATTTTCTACATTTTTGAAATTTCAATGTTATTCGATTTTATAATATTCAAGAAACATTTAACCATAAAAATGCTGCTGCTCTTGAAGTATCTGCCACTCTAGGTCAATGTTGCCTATGGGGAAATCCTCCCCTAATCTTGTTAAACTTTGTTTTCAGGGAAAAAAGTTTTTCAATTTTTTCTGTATTTGTATTTGTTGACAACTTGCTTCATTTATTCACTTCACTCCCATGTCAGAAGGAAAAGATAGTGTAAATTTAATGGTTATAACTGACAAATAACCATTTCTTGTGGAATGCTTGTGGTGAAATTGGAGTATATCTTATGCTATCTCTGATACATTAATATAAGCAAAACTATGATGAAGTATGTATACTTATGTAAGAATGAAAATACTGTAATATGTTATTCAAGTTCAAAATCTGGTTATCCATTTTACACTGTTCATTAATGTAAAGTAGTACAATTAATATATTGAAATGACAATGATTTTGTCATTTTTTAAACATGTATGGTCTTGTGTTGCTGTACGCTCATTGTAATTTAATCATTTTATCGTAGTAAATTGAAATAGTTTTTGAAATACCCAAATCAATACCAGGTTTTTAATTTTTTGTATTATATTCAAGTAGAATGTTATAAATTTAATTGATTAATTTTAGTACACTTAAATAGAAAGTCATATATTTTGCTACTTTCAAAGATAAATTAAATTAAATTATCAGTTTCAAGGGATATTACCTTGTTATGTGAGAAAATATGTGTTGTAAGATAATTGGTTCTGTTTTATAGGTACATTTTAGATCAGGAGTGGGTGGGGATACTAAAGTGACAGAGGCTACTGAAGAGATTCTGCAGGAGCTAGACCAGCTTTTGAGGTCTGTTAAAGAACAAAGTGTACAATTAGAGGCTTGCCTCGCTCAGCTTGACCAGTATCAACAGGTAACAGTGGAAATCCTCACCTTATGAAATTAAATGCCTGTTTTTATTCTTTACACTTCTTCACTGAGATTATTTGCAGGAGATACAACAACTGAGACAACAAATAGTTCAAGTTGAACAACAACTTAGAGTAGTTCTAAGCCCAACATATTCTCCACATGACCGTGATAAGGCACTTGAAGAACAAACTGTAAGTATACTTTTAGAATACCTGATATGCAAATGTTGAAAAATGTTTGTTTAGATAAACTGCTTGCCTATTTGTGTTGTGAAAGCTCTGAGCATCATATTTGCCAAGCACTGTTCACAAACCACTTCAATTTTTAAAGAATTTTACATTTGATATAGAATAAGTTCATTCTCATAAACTTCACAGTTCATATTTCTAAATCTTAGAATATTCATAGAAATAACAATAATAAAACAAAAGCTTTTTGAAATGCTTGACAAATATATGTGTGATTTGCAGCATTCTTACCACATTCTTGCTGTGTTCAAAGAGTTCCTGTTGGAGTATTATGTTTGTTCTCTGATTTTCATGCACTGTTTTCTTGTCCAGTATCATTTACTGATTGGCATATCCTGCTTGTCTTCACAAAAATAATCTTAGTGGTAATTTCACAACTATAACCAAATAAATCATGGGGTATGGAAACAAGAGCTTGTCAATTAAATATCTGTGCTCTATCAGCCTTTGTTAAGCTATAAAAAAATATTCGTTACCATAGAGAAGTTCCAGCAAAAGATCCAAGGAGCCTTCAGAAATACCTACTTTTATTAATTTGTTTTTCCTCTCTATTATGAATAGTTATGCCTTTCATTGAAATATTATTATTTCATATTCTAACATTATAATGCGGTTTTCTTTCAAACCACAAACCACTTCTTCTTCACGTCACATTTTACTGTAAAAATTAAATTGTTCTTGTTTGTGTTCTTTTACAAGTTTCCTATCTTCTTGTGATAACTAACTTTAGTATGCCAGAGAGAGCAAATGATGGTAAAACTATAGAATAAATGTAGGTTTATGTTCATATTTTGATACTCTCAAAATAAATTATTATTTCTGGTGACTTCATGCTGGTGATCATTAAAAAAGGCTAAAAATACTTTATTTGCTTGAATATAATATTTTCTCTGAAATAATTTTCTTTGCAAGGTAAATAATTTTTAGATTTTTATAAACTACTGTTCCAGCTAAATTGCTTTTGCATAAGTCTTCCAAACAATCGAGAGAATGTTAATGTATGCATAAAATGTTCATTACATTTCTTCTCAATACAATTCAATAGTAGATGGAGGCAACTGAGAAGACTGCTGCTCTTGTTCATACTCTCTGAATTCACTCTCAAATCATCATTTCCCCTTTTCCTTTATTGGCAGGCTAAAATATCAATAAAATATTACAATTCTGACACCAATTAAATTTCTTTGACATAGTATTTTATAAACATCAGTAGTATAAAGGATGTGTTGAATAAAATTCAGTAAACTTAAAATATTTGTTAATTACTTGTGAAAATTTCTTGACATTAAAATGCACTAGTAGTTAAATAAAAAAATTATTTATATAAATTGTTGTCAATGCTGTCAGTTATGCAATGAGATAACAGTAACTAATATAACTTCAGTATATTTTATTCAGGGAATTGACATTCAAAAAGGCTATTTTCATTATGTATGCTATTATATTTAAATTATTTATTTTCATTTATGTATTTTGGTTTGACAAATCAACTGTTTCTTGAGTCCCTGTTTTCCAGTTCAATATGATAAATGTAGAGGGCTTCAAAATCAATAAATGTATTTTATTGCTTCTTTTCGAAACATTTGTTTGATAATCATGAATGGAAACAACTGCTGATTCTTGGCAGACATATATTAAGAAAGAAGTATGATAGAAGATGAATATGACCTGTCACTAGTTCCCTACATTGAACTTAAAAAAAAAAAAAAAAAATTTAGATGCTGTACATAATTCAGTAAATATCTTTGTAAAATAAAATCATGAACTTCAATTTCTTCCGGAATCATTTTCTTCAGAGAATTTTCAGAATAAGAGATTCCCTTCGTTCCACTCATCAAACTTTTTTTAATGTTAATCTATTAATTATATGTAATAATTATTGATATTGATCTGATGTAAGCTGAAGTATAGATTTACAACATTTGGAAAGTAAATGTCATATTTTTTTAAAATTTGTATACAAACTCAACAACTTATGTGATAGAATTTTACAAATTTGGAATTCAAACAAAATTCACAATTAAAACACTACAGACTCATTACATGATAGACAACTTTTGTATAAGATGATGGAGGGATGTGTAATTGACAAATATTTGTATGGTCTACCAAAGTTGAAAGTACCTATATAATATAAATACACTTCTGTGTCAAATTTTGTTTTTATATCTATACTTCATGAACCACAGCCAAAGAAGTCTGATCAATTCCACCATGTAAAATTAATGGATTTGACACTTCACAGAATGAAGTTGCTTGTGATCTTTCCTGGTTTGATACAGAATAGAATTATCAGAAAGTTGGATGAAACCAAAGAATTTGGACTCTTACCATATCCTTTATTGATCTCTTTCAAAATGTGTAATTAATCATAACAGTAATTATCATAACATTAATCATATGTAACACCTTTAAAAGATGCCTGAGGATTCGACCAACTTTTTGATTGTAGTTATTAATCTGATTGTATTTGTATCAGTACTGCCAATTTATGAATCATTGTGTGAGAGTGTGAATTGTGCAAGTAACCACATGGCCACATAGTTTTCATTCTAAGGGAAATCTTGATTTTTATCTTTTATAACCAAAATTATTAAAGAAATAAATCATTTTATTTTATATATTTTTAAAACTTTTTCTCCAGTATTTTTGAATTCTTTTTAAAGAACCCTTTGTCTTTTGTTGTTTCCCTTTCTTTGAACTTCTGAATAATAAAATGTATCTATTCTCTGAATTTTTTTGGTTGTGGGAGAAACTTAGTTCATTGAATCATATACATATTTTTTAGTTGTGTTCTCAATATAAACAAATTTTACCAGGCTAATTGAAGAACTATCTAAATATAATCATCCGATGTGCTGTAATTAGATATTATCAAACTAAAATTTTCGTTACTGTTATGATACCATGAAAATTACTGTTATGATACCTTGGGTTGTTTTCATGAGTCCTTTTTATTGACATAAACTGAATATTTTCTGGTTCCTTCAATTCAACTCATGAGCAATCACTTCCTCTCAGTGATTTCAAAGAAGATTCATTGCAAGTTCATAAATTAAAGCATTAAATATAATATTGCCATTTCATGGAAATTGATTTAAATTAAAACAGTGATTTTAGATTATACAATTTGTCTGTTGAATGAGTTATAGTGTTAGAGATCAAGCAATATCTATAATGATTAAGCAAACACCAAATGTATTGGATTATAAAAAATAATTAAATTGTAATCAACATAAAACTTAGTGAATGTTCTCATGTGATAATGTAATCATTATGCTAGTATTTTGAGAGAGAAATATTGATAAGGTAATCTTGTCCTCCCCCTCCCTGGATTTTGTTAAGTGTCACTTACATAGGCCTACTCGTATTTTTTCTTGTTTCATTACAGTTCACTGATTTACAGTTGAACTAAAAGCTTACCTTCCAAAAATACCTCTAGAAATGTTATATGATAGTGCAATATATTTTCTATTGTGATATGATAGAATAAAACAGATGGTCTTCATGTGGTTGCTTCTCATTGGAATGCTAAGACTAAAAAGTTAAATGCTACAGTTTGAGTATCAGTTGTTTAATTAAAGAACAGCATTTCTGTAACAGCAAAATAATAACAATAACAAGGATTCTGTGAATGTTGTTTATTGCATATCACTTGAATGGGTATTTTTCTTTGTTGACAGTATCATATAAGTATGTAGCATGCTGTGAAGCTGAATATTGCAAGCACATTTGGAGCGTGATAATTCTAACTTTTCTTACAGGTGTTAAAACATTAAAAATTGATTTCCCCCATTGCAAGCAAACATGAGCAGGCAAAGCAATGATGAAATATGCCTGAGAGAGAGGCAGGCAATTTGGAAACATTTTGATGAAGTACAGTTGTTTTGTTGTTGTTGTAGAGTTGTTTCATCTGTATACAAAGTGCATGGTGGCTGCGTGTGATCATTTCATCAAGGTGTTTCCACTTGGTCCTCCAACTTGCAGCTGGGGGTCACTGTTCTCTGTTTGATAAAGCTTGGAGCACCTGGCCGAGGTTATGGATTTTGCAATTGCTTTAACTCACAGCAGTTTGTTTCTTGGGGGAAAACTTTTCATTTGCCTAAGTTTTGAAACATAGTTTTCTTGCATTCTTGTTTTTCATAAATTTTATCACTTCAAATAAGATTCATACTAGTTACTATCTTCTAAAATTCAGTTTTAATCTCTTCAAACTTTCAAAGGCTAAATTGAATTAGTTATTTTACTTTTGGGTTTATTCAGTTCAAATTCTGACACATTCCTCTGTTTTGTCACGTTCCTGCTTCCTTTTGGTCCCACATCAACCTTGCAGGCTTGTCGGGAGCGTGCCCTAGCTCTGCAGGCCAAGATCAGTGCCCGCTTGGAGCGGATTAAGCTCCTCACTCAAAGAGGGACTCCAGACTTGGAGCCCCTCGAATCTTAGCAACCAACCTTGTGTGTGGCGTGCCCAGGAGGACCCCCTGGATAAAATGGGACACGTGGCCACCAGCATCTTAGCATTCCCATGATCTCAAAATGAGAGCGGTCCTCACCACAGAGAAGTACTAGACTTCATTTATTTTAGCTCAAGACTAAGATGCAGTGACAGTCTGATGGATCAATCGTCTTGTCTTGAGTAAATGTCTTAATTTTGTTATTCATAAATGTAATTGTAAGTTACTTGCAGTGTGATAGAATTTATTCATTTGTTTTTGTGCAAATTTATTGTCTTCTGAAACTTTTTCTCTTATTTATTATGCCCATATCAATCAGGGCTGGCAACAGGATGTCAACACATACCGAAAAAGAATTCAAGTTCTCACAAAATCTATTCATGAGATGGATCCATACTACCTTGTTGTTTGTGAGAAGACTACAGATCAAGAAGACAAAGAACCTCACATCCAGAGAATAATTAAAAGTGAAGTACTTTCTCAAAAGCCATTGAATACAACCGATAGCAGTTTGAAAACAGAACAACATGTCTTATATCCTGGATCAGTCTCGTATGCTGATGTTGCTGCTGGTCGCACAAGTCCGTGTGCTTTTGACAAGAACAAAGATTATTACTGTCCTTTACCTACCTCACAAATACCAAAATCTGATTTCTCAACCATCCATTTTAGTAATAATAATGAGTCTTTTGATTCCCTTCATCCCAAAAAGGGGCCCTCTTCTCTTGGTGAGGGGGAAAAAAGAGACTCCTTGATAGACAATGCTAGTGTATCAGAAATACCTGTAACATGTGCAGTGGAAATAATAGAACCACAAATTGGAACACCTATTGCATTGCACAAAACATACCATCCCTGGCCAAAATCAGAGCAGAATAATCAAAACAGTCTTGAGTCAGAAGTGTTATCACAAGCAATGGAGAGGCAGTTTTTAGAAACTGAGTCATTTCATTGCCAACAACAAAGGCATGTGTGGGTTCCTGGATCTCTTACTTATGCTGACATTTTAAGAGGTAGACATGGTTCATCTTCAGATCTCAGTGATAACCAAAGGCTAACTGCAGATTCTCTGGAAATAATAGATAAATGTATGGATCAATCAAGAGAAATCAAACAGAGCAATCATTATGATTTAGCTGTTTCTGATGGCATGCCTTCCTCACTTCCATCTCAGCCATTCTTGCCCTCAATAGTTTCTATTCTGTCAAGTGCTGAACATCCTATTTCAGTTGATGATGTTAATAAGACACAACATTTTCAAGAAAAGGCACATTTTAAACCTGAAGTTGGTGTTAATATGTATGAAAGTGTTCATCAGCAGAGTTCTTTAACTCCAGATTTAATTGGCCTAATTCCCTCTGGTGAAGATTTTCTTAGGTCTAGCCATGAAGTATATGAGTCTTCAGTACACCAATATCCTGAAGAATCTTCTGAAACACTTGTGCCTACGGAACCTAGTCACAATAACAAGACAGTAATTCTGAGTGAAATGAAACCTGACACTAAGTTATATATCTCTCAACAGAATACAGCCCAACAACCTGAGACATTTTGGAAAAATGAGCCATTTTTAGAATCATCCCATGAACAGAATGCAGAACCTAGTACTGTTGCTGTTGATCCTTCATTCAGTTCCCATCAGTCAGATAAGGAAACAATTGAATGTTTCTCAGTAACTGGAAATGAAGAAAGTGATAAGGTTCCTTCATCAACAATGCCCAAAGGATTTTTAGATGCTTACCAGAATGATACTACTAAGGTTCATCACTTGTCATATGCTCAGATTTTGGCTCATGGGCTTCACAACAAACACCTCAGCAACCCACCCACATCTCATTATTCTTCTGATGGAAGTAAAAGATCTGAAATACAGTTCCTGATTAACCAAACAGACAAAGACTTCACACATTTTCCAGATCCTGAAGAGTCTGACACCAGTACAAATAGAACATTCCCTGTTGAAATTCATTCAGTTTCTGACCAAGATGTAAGGCGAAATATGGCTATTCTGAACAAGAACAAACACTTTGAAGATGCCATAATTCCATCTGACAAGGCCAGAAAGTACAAACATGATACTGAAGGACATACGTTTAAAGAAGGTAAAATAGATATTGTTACATCGCATTCTGAACTTACACTACCACATACCATTCTTGCATGCCATACTAGTGAAAAGAAACAGTCATCTCCAGTGGGTTCTGAAAAATCCAAACTAGAAATAAAAGAAAATGATGAAATGAAAACTCAAGAACTTCTGCCAACCTACACTTCCTCCATTGAAGGTGAAATTGATGATCCAATGAAATTTAATAACCAAGAATCAAATTGTAATGTGTTAGTAGCAAGTAATTCAATGAGAAAGAAGAAAAGTAAGAAGAAGAAGAAAAAGAAAATTAATTTTCCAGATGATAAAACATTATTAGAAGATGAAAAAGTGAATGAGGAAAATGACGTTGAGATGGAGGATGAGAGTAAGAACAGACTAATTATTTTGGAAAAACCTGAATCTGTTAATGTTTATTCAGAGCAGATTGGTACTTCTGGTATAATGGATTCATCACAGGCCCATGGAGAAGAGCAGACCAATGGCAGAGATTTCTCAAGTTACAATTACTATCTAGAATCTCTTGATAGTACTTCATCAAGTACACCACCTACAAAGTTTCAAAAAGTAGAAACTACTAATTGGACTACTCTCACTTCAGGAAGACACATATGTCAATCAGAGCTTGTAATGCTTCCTTCATCTGCAAATCAGGGCACAGTTTCTGAAATAAGCTTTGAATTGGAATCACACATGCCAAGACATAGTAAATCATCCAATGTTAATACGGCAGAAGTCATTGATATTGATGATAATCGACTTGCTGTGAAAGAAGACTTTGATAGTTCTCCTCCTACTTCAGTTACCAAGGCTGGTGAAAATGTGATCGTTTCATTATCCTCTCCTTTGACAATTGAAGAAACTAAGGAGAGAAAGAAAAGAAAGAAAAGGAGTAAGAAGAAAGGTGGTAATGTTGGCGAAAATTGGGAAACCAGTTTTCACAGCACAGATAGTGGCTCTGCAAGTAAACTAGAAGAAACCCAATTTTCTGTTAATGAAACTGACAGTTCAGTAATAGAAGAAATATCTGTGCATGAAACTGGTTTCAGTCAGTTTACACTTGACTCCGAAAGGGCTTCTGAAAAAAAGAACAGGGAAGAATTTAGTGACACTCTTTCATGTGCTTCATCAATTGTTGACTTGAGAACAAGAGATTGTAATATTGATGAAACAAAAGAGAAGCCTGAGGTACTGCAGTCACAAGATAAATCAGAGTTTCACCATGAAAATGAATTGAGTGTAAAGATCGAATCTAAAAAGAGAGAGGCAAGAGATACAAAAGATGAAGTGAGCAGGCGAAAGGCAACTCGTAAAAAGACTAATAAGAAGCACAAAGATTCCCAACAAGCACGTATGTTGTTTTTAACAGAAGATGAAAAGATCAACCTCACTGATGTTCCTGAAAATCACAAACAATGTACTGATTCAGAACATGAGAAAAAAGAGAGAAAAACCTCGGAGAATGTTCCTGATTATGAGGTTTCTGAATGTATAACTGAGTCAAATAGAAGTGAACATTCATATCCTGAAATCTCATCAGTAATTGAGATCAAAACTAATATTGAAACAGAAAGTCCATCACAATATTCTGTTCAACCATTACCTGATCATAAGATGGCAAATAATTTCAAGAGTGCTTCTGAAGAAATTTCTTTACATCAAGCAATATCTTCTGAAGAAAATCCTCAAGTGTCAAATATTGCAGATACCACTATACATAAAAATTACAACAAAAGTGAAATTAATATTCACTCTACAACTATAAATGAAAGTGAAAAATCAAGATATGAAGGTGATATAAAAAATGATAATTATTCAGAACTTTCTGATCCAATTTTGAATATGAAGTCAGATGTGTTTTACAAGTTTTCCCAAGACTTGGAATCCTCATCATTGGATTTAATCGATGCAAAATTGGATGAGACAAGGAATCTAGAAGACAAGAATATAGATCTCAGGCAGAAAGACTTTTCCTCTAAATTGACCCACACAGATCTTCAAAAAGAAGCTGGAGAACCAAGCTTTCAGAAAAGAAAGAGGAAATTTGATAAGAATTTGAATAATGAGGATATCACAACAGTTATGTATGAACCATATCAGTCAGTAATTTCACTTGCATTAAGAGATCCTGTAGAGTCAGTAGTAACATCGACTGAAGATGGAGAAAATAAAAATTTGGTTTCACAAGATGTTTCCGTTCCTCTAGTGCCCCTTCAAGTTGTTAAAAAAGAGGTTGAAAATACAAAATTTTTGACTTCAGTTTCTGACATTTCCCCAGAACCTGACAACCTGAATTTTTTCCAGAAAGGAAGTACACAAGAAAATGAATTACAAGACAAACATAAAGAAATTAAGTCAGATATTGGAATTAGTGATCAGGCATGTGATACTCGATTTATGTATAAAAATGAAGGTAATAATGAAGAAATAGGTCTACAAACTGATATCTCTAGTTTGCATTTCCAAATGACTGATCGAGAAAATGTGCCATCATCATCTTCAGGATCAATAATGTATGAATATTCACAACCTCCAGATGCTTTTATAGACAATAATATAATTGAAGAAGTTAATAAAGTGTATGTTGCAGAGGAGAGTCTTGTAGTAAATGAAGAAAATCCATCAATTTGCAGTCCTTTAGAAGAGAAAAAAGAGTTCACTGAAATGAAATTTGATGTTTGCAGCACAGCTGGCGAGCTTGACAAAGATTCAAATATATATTTGCCATTAACTTTACCTGCAACAAATACTGTGGAACATCAGTTTTTCTTCAGAGATTCAAATCAAACTGGGGATATGAATGTCTTTGAAACAATACCAGATGGAAACAAGGTAATTAATTCTAAATGCGACTCATCTGAGGAATTAAGAAATAAACATAACTTGGAACTTCAAGCTTTGAATTTTGGTGCAAACAGTGTGTTAATTCCACAACAATTTGAAATGTCTAATAGTTATTTTTCTACTACTAAATTGAGAGAGGAACATCATTCTGTGGATAATATTCATATTGCTAGCTACAAAATATCAGATGCCAATCATGAAAATAAAAGTGAAAATGCAACACAAAGGCATGCAATTGAATACAGTCTTGTTAGAGAAGTTTGGCCGTATTATTTGTACACAGAGGCAGAAAGAAATTGGTACATGCTACAACAAAAAGAACAGCTCATAAATACTCTGAAATTACTTGAAGATGATGGACAGAAACATGTTGCACCATCAACAAGTGAATCAGAGTTGGCTGAAGTAATAAGTAATTCTTACAGTATAAGTGAAAATGAGTTATTGGAAAATACAGCAGAAATGAAACCAAAATCATCTGTGGATTATTATACTATGGAACTCCCCAGATATGCCATGAGTTCTTTATTAGACAGTGAAAGAACATGGAAAGAATTAACTGCCCTTAACTCAATATCTAACCATGGCAAAGAATATCAAGACACTGCAAGTGATATAGAAACTACTCAGTTCAATGATCAAATACTTCTAGATCAACTTACAAGTCAAGAAGCATATTCCACTCATCCTGTAAATATGTCAGAAAATAAAAGAGAAGATAACTTGCAACATTCACTTACCAGTTATCTTCTTGAAGATAGTTCATTACCAAAATATCCTATAAGTGTGTTATTGGATGCTGAACAAAATTGGAAAGAGGCAACAGCAATTAATTTAATAACCCATGATGAAGATGTGCATCTTTCTCATGAAAATTTGGCGGAATTTAGTCATACATCCGAAGATCATGCAAACAATCAAGAATCACATCCATTGTTACAAGATGCACAAGATCAACTGGAAAGAAATGACACTAAATCTGAAGTATTTCAAAATTATCTTATTTTAGATGATTCATTACCTAAGTATAATACTAGTGTTCTGTTTGATGCTGAACAAAATTGGAAGGAGACAGTAACATTTCATTTAACTTCTCATGATGAAGATGAACATCTTGTTCATGAAAATATTGATGAATCAAATGAAACATTTAATGATTGTGCAACAAGCAATGATACAGAGCCATCTTCACAAGATCCTCAAAGTCAAACAGTAGGAAAAGACACAAAATATCATGTGTTTGAAAATCATCTTCTATTAGATAAATCATTCCCTAAGTTTAATACAAGTGCCTTGTTTGAAGCTGAACGAAACTGGAAGGAAACAGCAGTTTCTTTAATGCCACATGAAGATGATCATCTTTCTCATGAAAATATAGGTGAATCAAGTGATACATGTGAAGATCAGGGAATGAGTAAAGGTATGCAGCGGCCATTACCAGATATCAAAACTCAATTGGAGATGAAAGACACAGGTCCTCTCATATTTGAAAATCATCTTCGCTTGGATGATGCATTTCCCAAGTATAACACTAATGCCTTGTTGGATGCTGAACAAAACTGGAAAGAGACAACAGCATTTAATTTAGCACCTTGTGATACAGACAAGGATCTTGCTCATGAAAACATAGGTGAATCAAGTGATACCTATTATGATCACCCTATGGATCAGGATACACAGCCATTGTTACAGGATCTTCAAAGCCAACCAGAGGTAGAAGACACAAAACATCTTGTATTTGAAGAAAATATTTTGTTGGATGATTCACGCCCAAAGAATAATACTGGTGTAGTGGATGCTGAGCAAAACTGGAAGGTGACAACAGTGTTTAATCTAACTTCACACAATACAGATGTGCATCTTTCTCATAAAAAAATAAAAGGATCAGGTGATATATTTCAAGATATGGTGTCATCATTACAAGATTCCCAAATGCAACTGGATGTAAAAGACCCAAAACACTTTGTATATGATAATCATCTTTTGTTGGATGATTCGTTTCCTCAGTATAATACTACTGCCTTGTTTGATGCTGAACGAAATTGGAAGGAGTTAACATCTGACTCAGAGAATCATGGTGCAGACAAACATTCATGTAGTGAAGTGAGTACAGAAGTGAATGACTCATGCATTATAGATAATTTACAGGCCCAAATGAATCAGGAACTACAATTGCCTAGTGTTCCATTGAAGGATTCCCAGAGTAAGAGTGAAATAGAAGATATTTCTTGCCATATGTTAGCAAGTCACCTATTGGATGATTCATTTTGGACAAATAAATGGTGTTTTGATGATGCAGAATGTAAGTGGCAGGAACAGCATGCAAGATCAGTCCTCCGTTCCAAGCTGCAAGCTGTGCCTTCCACCCCTTATGAAGCATTCTGTTCTGGCTACATTGATCAGGATGGTGATCATGGGAACCATAATATCCCTGGTGCACCTGGAGTTGTTGAGTGGCAGACTGAAGATGATGGTGTTCATCTTTTAACGAAGAAGGTGCGAGCACATTTTTGTGCTGTGTGTTGCAACTCCCCTATATCACTGCAATGTTCTGGCGTGTAATTACTAATGCTTTACTGTTGGTACAATTAACCCATTGTATTTTCTTATTTTGTGTATTAACTTATTAGATATGCTGCTATTTTTTATTTCCAGTTCCTTTTTTTATAAAGTAGCATGCTGTTGTGGTACTGGCAGCCAGTCAGTCAAACCATCAATTTTTTCCCTCAACTTGCATGAATTTCTAAATGTAGCAATATGATATAGTTGCACAAAACTACTTAAAGCCTTCATATTTCAGCCTTATTTCTAGTTTATTTTTATTCATAAAAATACAGCCTATGTTACAGATATACTTCTGATTATTGTGACCTGCAAATAGATTTTTTTTTCGTTTCCCCCTGCACTGTACATCCTATGATTGTCATTTGCTTTGTTATGATTACGCTGAATGGGAGTTGGGCTGTTTGTAGTATAGCAATGCTTGGCCAGTGCAGCTCCCGTGGAAGTAACAGAATGCTTATACGCAAGTTTTTTTTCTTGGTTTTTGGACCTCCAGCCGGGGATCTGTTGCCCATGTGCTTCTCTAATAGGAATTTCTGCATCATTTGATGATACAATATCTCTCTTGCTTCCTTTGAAAATGTGTTGGGGGTGTTTGTTTTTTCCTTTCCTATAGGTGGTCAGTGGAATTCATAAAACTTCAGTTTTTACATTCATATGACACATGTGTTTGAAACATTTTAGAAGTATTTATGAATAGTTCTATTAGCAATATCCCCTAAAACTTTCTAAAATTGATAATATCAAATAATTAGTGAATGGTTTGATTTGGAGCCACCCATAAACACCTAATACTATGTTTATAATACAAAAACACTGAAAAAAATTATTTAGTATGTGCTTATCCTTTTATGAAGTGTGATCTACTGGTACGCAAGTGTAAAACTGCAGTGAACATCAGTTGTACTTCATGAAAGTAGAGTCCCTTCGCATGAATCATCTTTCTTAAACGAATTTTCGTTTTACATTTTACCCCTTGCTTTTTAAGTCTATCGTTTTTACTAGACCCCAGAACAGTAATAAATTTATAAGAGATACATGTGTATGCATGCAACCTTTTATATTGAGTACATAAATGGTAGTTCCAAAACAATTCATTACTTTTTTAGGTCTTAGCATCTGGAGATCTTGACGCACTTCAAACATCATTGAAAGACTGTGAGATGAGGCTGACATCCCTCTCTTCAGATTCTCTGCGCAACATGTATGATGATATTTTGGTATGTATTCATTGTAAATTGTGCATTACAAATGGATAGTCTTTTGACTACCAATTTCATTTTCTGCAATCACAATTGAATTAATCTATACTAATGGAATGCAACCCAAATGTTATACTTAAGTATAATACACATGTACACATTTCTGCAAAGGTTTAAAAACAGTGTTGTCAAGACAGATACATTTTGCAAATAAGATATATTTGCATTAAGATGCCAAAACAAGATGGTAGTACTAAAGTAACTGATGTAAATTTACTTAATAAATGTACTCATCTCATAAACTTTAGTGAAATTTAGTTAATTTTTTTTATTTTTAGTGAGTTGGCGAATTACAAAAATTTTCAAATATAAACATCTCAAACATTCTAAAGTGGGAAGCCTTCTTAAAGTAATTGCCGAAAAAAGATTACAAACCAAAAAGGACATCATTCACAAGGTCTTGTGTTACATTACATTAGAGAGTATATATGCATTACATTATGTACTACATTACATTAATAATTGTATCCCCCACAATTTTTTAACCAAAAATCACGAATCCTAGCCAGAGCTGCGAGACTGCCCTATTTATTTCAAATATCGAATTGATGACGTGTCCTGTAAATTAATTCAACAAAAACAAAAACTAAAATAAAAATTTCAACATCCAACTTCCTGATTATTAAAGTTTAATGAATGTACAGGAAACTTCTTACAATGGGTAATATGTGCCCTTTCTGAAGGGAATCAACTATGCGCTTAAGATATAGCCAAAACTATAAGTATATTTTGTTGAGATCATTATTTGATGGTGGAAAAATTTTAATCTTGAATATGTAGTTTGTATCTTTAATGTTATATTTTGTTGAATTCACTATTCCCTATATAATTCACGATTCATTACATGTATATTGTTTTACACATTTAATGTATGAATTCACAACAACAAAATGAAAACATTGGCATTGGGGCTCACTTATCTATATGTGATTATCATCATTAAATGTCATCAAAAAATGATTAATTACATACTTATTTCTATTTCCTATTATTTTTGGTTCAATTTCTGTAATTTATCATTACAATCAATTTTCTGATTCTACTGCTTATACACGTGTATACACAATGGTGGGAAAATGCAAGCTACCTCTCCAGTTTTTTGAAAAAGCAATCTAAATGAGTATTTGTGTATTTTCCCGCCATCCTGTCTCTTATCTAAAATTTACTAACTTCCCTGAAGCACAGTTTTCCAGTAGTTTTTTGTCTCCTGAAAGATGATAGCAGAAGTCAAGCCCAGATTCAAAAACCTTGGCTTTGTTCCAGAAATATTCACTCATTTCCAATGTCAGTGTCTACTACTTGAAATATTTTTTTGTGAAGAAGAAAAATACTTTTTTAAGGAATATAATACCTCAAGATCCTCGAATATTACTGGCAACAAAAGAAAATTTCAAGCCAAATGTTTTTGAAAAAATTACCTATGTAGATAAAAAAGGAGTGGATTTAATTTTTCATCATTAAACAAATATTGCTCCTGAACACATTTAGTCAAACATGTCACTATTGTACATAAGACGACATTGGTCTTGTGACTGGTGTTTACCGAAAAGTGTCGTACAATCATTGGGCATAATGAATGATAATATAATAAAAATATTTGACACAAAAATATGATCTGAAAATAAGTAGCAATTGAACACATATTCATCTTCATGTACATACATAATGTGGTTGGCACTTATTGAAATATGTCGTTAACATGACCCTCTAGGGATATGCAAGTAAACAGACATTAGGCGACTAATGCCTTTTCTCAACACACTATCTCTCCATCTAACATATTAATCAATGCAATGTATTATTTAACATAGAAAATTTTGTCTTTTGCTTTCCTAGATGATTTGCGATGCACTGAAAAGCATTGATGTTAAAGCTCAAACTCTGGAAGAAATAATTCAACAATTACCCACTGATCAAGATGTCCAAAATTTGAATGTTGCAACATCCAATCTACGACGCCGTGTGACTACCCTGCTATCGTATACCAGTGAAGGTTGCTCGACTATTGAGGTGTGTAAATGAATATTCCATTTATATATTATGACTGATTTTGTAAGGTGTTTAGTTGATGAGGATATGATAGAGGCCAATATCACTTACATTCAAGTTATTCAGCATAGATCATTGAATTCAAGTTCTTATCATACTGTGTTTCGTTGGACTTCGAATTACATACACTTATTTCTAGTTCATTTTTAGTTTCATTTCTTGAGCTCAATATTGAAGAAAGTTAATTAATTAGTATGATAGTGAGAATGATATACTTCATTGATTTTTCTATTTAAATTTTTAATTTTTTAAAATAATTATTTTAGAGGATCCAGGCCCAACAAGAGCAACAACTTCAAAATATTGCTCACTATGAGGAACTGTTGAATGAAATTGCCTCATGGTGTTCAGCAGCAACTGTGACTCTTAATATTGACCTCCAGAATCTATCCCATCAACAGCTATTGGAACAAAGAGATGTGTTTGAGGTAAATATTACTACATAATTAAGGCTCTTGTCATGTGTTTCCCATTAGTTAATGAGTAACTATTGTGCATTTTATCAGCGAGACCTATTTTGTCTTGATCAGGCCATGTTAATACCATTTTAATTCTGTTTGTTTATTTACATTTTTATAGTCATATCAACCTACATGGTTATGTCACGTTACAAAGTAATATTCAATATATACATTACAAAGTAAAATCAGGTCATAGAGGCTTATTTCCTACTCTAGTATTACTAGTTGGAATTGTATTCTTCATACTCTGTGAATATTTGTTGTAAAACTGAAATAGTGGATCCTAACTGCAAACAGCCAGGCCCTGAATTTTCAAAACATTATACATGCAATATTATGCTTGATTAAACATTCTAATTTTGCTTCATTTGTGATTTAATTTCACAGAAAATCAAATAATCTCTTTAGTTTTATCATGTAATATAATTTCTTTCTCTATTCCTTCAATTTAATTTTTAGGTTAGTCAACATAGGTTTTGAGTTACTTCTTTATCTGAACATCCATGCTCTAGAACAGGAATCCCCACAAGGGCTAAATGTACAAAAATGAAATACAAGGTTCAAAAGGTCTCTTTTTGTAGAATTCTGCTTTAGACCCATAACTCATGCCTTTCTGTCCCTCATGTGTCCTGCCTGCCATCCCTATTCTCAAAACTTGTCCCCCCACAAATTTCACATTAAAGGCCCAACATGTATCATTACCAAGTTATTTGCAATTATAGTTTGTGTTGCAATAGTCTGTTTTTGTCATAATCTGCAAACTTTTTTTTTTTTTTTTTCTTCATAATTTTTGAAGCAAGACTGGGGAGTTATTCTGTATCTAGCAGTAGCACACGTACAGGATTTTGCATCAACAGTTTCTTATAGACTGTGAAAAACTATCATATATCCTTAACAAATTAACATATAGAAAGGATAATATTTTTTAGAATTGGGGTGAGTAAAAATTTTATTTTGTATCTTCAGTTCTTTTCATCTCATTTATTGCTTGTACATTGCAGTTTCACATGACAAATTTTGTATGGGGAATTGCAGAAATTACTGATGATTAGATCTTATTTGTCGATTACATGACTGTGAGTTAGTCTACACTGGCCTATTTGGAGTGTGTTGATAGATTTTGTACTTCTATTAGTGCTACAAGTTGTTTGTGATTCAAAGTTGTTTTTTTATAATCTGGTGAAGTCTCATTGGTTTTGTCTGCAACCTTGCTGAATTCAAGTTTTCTTTTAATTTAAGTTTCAACATTTTGATGATGTATGATAACGTGTGTTTGTAAATTTTGGGATGCGGGGTGGTTTGAGTCATTAGATGATGGTTTAGCTACATAATCAGCTATTATGAATTAGCTGATAGATAATGATCATGATGGATAACGATACCCAAGATTTTTAAAGAGGGAAAGAATCAACACACATGTACAGTTTTTCCAGATGGAATAATTTGTGAATTCGTTAAAATAATCTCCAATTTATTCTTTAATATTTATATTTTATTTGGAATCAACAGTGCTTCTTGTGTCTGTAAAATTGCTAAGTGTGAGCTGATTGATTTTAGGATGTCAGTTACAGTGGATCTAATTGCAAAAACAAACGTCACTGTAGATTAATGAGTTTGTCTTAATAATTTTGTTTCATCTGAGAATACAGGTGCACAACCAGTTTCATTTGATTTTTTTTTGGCCATCAGAGTGTATCTGAATGCTGCTTTCTTTTTTATTGTGTTACATAGAAAAGGACTTGGTATATTGGGATTTGTCATTGGCTTGAGATTTTCTAACAAAGATATATCTATTTTGAGGAGTTCAAATGGTTCACAGGAGGATTTACAATGATATATTGGGGGAATGTGAAGATAAGTTTTTGTCAGTACATTGTATATTCAAAGGAAGAAACAATGATAAAAGGATTCCAATTATGTATAGACAATCAGATTTTTATTACTAGATCAGTAGGAAGGGGCCATACAAGGATAGATGATCATCCCCACACTCAGCCGTAAGAATAGGAACAGGATAGGGAACGAAGGATTGCACATGGCCTGTGGTCTGTCCTCTTGGGTGATGCTCCTACATGTGTCTGGAAACAATCAGGGAAACAATGTAAAACTACCGATCAGAGTAGTTGGAGTATGACTTTGATCCAAGCAGGTGTCGTGAATTCACCAATGTTTAACACATCAGGCAAATCTCTGGTATTTGGAGAGAATCATACCTATGACCTCCCAATCACCAGTAGGTTTGAGCCTCAATGCTTGCTGCTACTGGCATTGGTTCTTTCTTTACTAGCTCATTCACATATATGTGAAATATATGTCTGCAAATATAATTAGGTATTATAAATACATGTTTTTATTATCACTTTTGCAGCTTGTTACATTAGTGTTTGAGTTTCTCAACATGGAAAGGTAATTGACAAATAGATGCTAACCAACTAAGTTTAATCTACAAATGAAAGCCAACCCTGCATTATTTGAATGAGATATTTACAAAACAAATATTACCTTGTATTCAAGTAATTATTGTATACGGCAGCAATTTAGGCCTTATGTTTAAGAGGAGTAACATCCTTTCTGAAAGCTTTTGAATAAGAAAGAAAGCTTTTCAACAATAAAACTGTAGAAATAAGAAAACAATTTTAAACACAGTAGTGTGTAAAAGAATCAATCCTTTGGGTCTCATTTGTCTTCTTAATTACTTTTGTTATAGATTCTATTTTTGAAAAGTAGGCATGTTACTTTAATGAAGGGGACCAAAAGTTACCCAAATTTTCATAATTCAGTGCATTTGAACCTAATTTAGCACATGTACGAGATTAGAATAACAATAACGCATTAAAATTAACATTCTTTTTCTACAGATTTTATGCAATGTCATTACTCTGTCACAGAAAAAATAATGTCATTATTCTGCAATTTGAGTTTCCCCATCTGTTGCCAAAGTGTTATCACAAGAAATTACAGAATTATTGATTGTAGCAAAATTCCAATTTGTGTTAAGAATTTCCATTGTATATTTTCCTCGTGAGATGCACTTGACTTTACTTCATCAGAAGCGCTGAGTGCACAGGAAGCTATGTATTTCTTTGTCTTCCATCTACAATGCTGATAAATATCTGAAAGAATGTCTAATCAAAGTACTTCTTGCTCCTCTTAATGCAACCCACAAAGTAAATTAAATTCCTTGTTGCACATCACCCAGAAAAAGTGGCCTAACTAAAAAATGCATTGTTTTTCAGTACAGCTCAAAAACAATTCACTGCTTCACTAATCTATTACTTGTTGTTCCATGTTTTCTATGTTATTTTATGTTTCTATGTTACGTTCCATGATCCTATGTTATGTTTGACTTATTCCATACGGTAAATTGAAATTTACTCAATGCAATAGCAGTATTAACTCAAAATTGTCAATTTTTGAGTTGGGTAACTTTTCTATGTGATGTGACACAGTGGTCATAATTTTCTACCAAGGCATCAAATCGTTTCAAGTAATGCTCTCGTATCAATTTCATCTAATAAGACATTTAGGTTTCAGTTTTGGAAAGTAAAAAGTATTTAAATGGTTCTAAACAGTCTTCTTATAACATTCTTTTTTTTTCTTTCTTTATTTGATTCATTTATTACTTTGGGCTAAAGGTTTCCAAAGTGCATGAATGACATTTGTTAAGTTTCTACAGAAATTGTTCACAATTTTGAAGAGTTAAAAAAAAATCTTTATTATCTGAGGCATTCTAAAATGCAAAGAAAATATCTTGTCTGGTAGAGGTTGAAAAACTACCAGAAACACACATAGCGGTAGTTTCCACTAAGAATCACTTCTCAAATTTGAACACAGCATAACAAGTTACAAGAGGTTATGGTGTCAGTCCAGCAACATAATTAACGCCCTTTTTAATATTTGGGTCTACCTTTACGATTTGCCCAACCATTTACTCTGCAACATAATGGCACCCTAGAAACCTCCAGGGGTGTTCTGCAACAAACACTGCTCAGCTAGGTCAAGTCCAGCTCAAAGTGGCCCATCTTGTTTATTGTGCATGGCTTTCCAGTGATAATACTCAATGTTATGTCTTCGAACATGTTCTGATTTACGAGAATTTTGAGCATACACAAAACCCAATTAGTTGCTTGAAATTTCCAGTTGAAGATGAAAGAGAATTTATTAGAATAGTTCAAACAGTTATTTCTTTCTTAAAAATATTGTATGATCTCCCATTTAACAAATTAAAGAGACTATTTGCACCAATAAACTATGAGTCAGTTTAGTCTGATTGTCTTCAGTGTTTTCATTCTTAATTAACTGAAAATGGCTATCAATGTATAATGTATTTCACCTCCGTAGTTATACATCACATTTCATACTTTATAGATGATTTCGCAAGAACTGGACCAACATGACAAGAAATTAAAAGAACTGATGATGAGCAATGACATGCAAACTCATGCTGGTTGTTTGCAACTTGGAACATCTCTTCATCAACAACTGTTATCTGTTAGAAACCTGCTTATGGATATGGATGTACAAGTTACAAATCAAATAACCGTCACAAAGGTAATGTACAAAACTCAATTACCATTTACGATAACTTTATTATTTTTGTTTTCTCTTTCTTTTTATTGAAGTTTTGAGTACCCAATTTTTAAAAAGATTTACTGTTAAAATTAACAATGCTATATGGTTTTCTCAATAAGGTTAATCAAATTTACAAATATATAATTTTATAAATGTGTACTGTTTGAAGAAATAATGGGAAAACAATTGCTACAAAGTAAGCAGAAAAATTTTCCAATCCTACTACATTCCTGGGGAGATATAAATAAAACAATTAGATTATTTGTCTGAAGTAGAGAACGAGATACAACTTGAGAAGTTGTTCAAACTGGCTCTTCATGCTGCTTAAGCAAAGGGGAAATCCGCGGTAGAGGGGCAAAGGGTAGTAAGGGGGCATTGAAGGGGATCTTTAGTTTAAAAAATAGACAGTGGTTGCTGTGAGTTAGATCTGGTTTGGAGGGGGACAAAGGAGAAGCTCTTCAAAGAGATTCCTTCTCAGTAGCGTCTGAAATTGTGGCGTTATAGGCAGGGGAACTGTAATGAGAAAGCAAGTTTGTATTAAGAAAGTTCAACAGAATTCCATGTCTTTAGTGCACTATGTTCACTCCTAAATTTCTTTAATTGAAATCAATCAGCAATCAAAAAATTTTAAAATCAAAAAATTATGGCCATGACCTTTTCAGTTGATTTAGTAGCCCTTGGTCAAAACAAGACTGCTCTAGCTCTTTTTCAGTGGAAAATTACAGTGAAGATTCATTTAGCATGTGGCCCAAATGTAAAAAATTATCATAAGACCGTTTGAGAAACATTGCTTGATACTCAAGTATGGTGTGGACAACGGCATGACACAATAAACGTACTTTTGTTAAGTGGCAAAGGGAAATTAGGCTGTAACCTTAATGAACGCTTTATAAAAGGTGAAAAGGGAAATATTTGGAATTACCATTACTTCGGACCTCTTGCTGTTGCAACATAATCGAGTAGGAATCTTTCGCTGCTTCCTTGGTACGTTATGTTTCGATTCTCTTCAGATAATGTTTTCCATTGTGTAATTAATCCATATTGTAATTAAGAAAATTGTCTTCCGTAATAGTGCCGCCTTACAGGCTGCAAAAGCTTTGGACTGATATACAAATGCCAGTAAAGATAATTTTGAACAATCAGAGAAAATGTTCAACCACAAAACATGTTGCAGAATAAAATTAAAAGTAGAGATTAGTATTATGCTTTACAGTACACTTTTAGGACCATTGTACATTTACACCATTATGAATTAGCTTATATACTAATTTATTTATACCTGCAACATTATCATTCTGTAATGAAATCAATGTTACCTTACAAAAATTGCTAAAATAATCAATTCGTTGAGTATTGCAACATTTTCTACTTGGTGTGCATTTTATGAACATCATAATGCTAATCGTTTTAGAGTGATTTTGAGAGCTGTATGTATGATAAAATGTATTTTTCGTGCACACGCAACGTGCGTTACTTAGAGACGGAAAGTAAACAGTCAGTTAAAAAGCGTTATTGATGAAATGATCTCTGAGAATTTATAACTGCCAACTCGCTCTTACGAAGAAATTGGTAGAAGCTGATTCACTAGATCGGTATGTGAAAAAACGCACTATAATTTGTAAACGTTTTTTGGGAGTTTTGTTTTTCAGGATGAAATCCCTTTCTACGTAATCATTTACCATACGTATTGCTGGTTATTTCCCGCTTACGTATCGTTACGTACGCGGTTGATCTCTGTCGACTGATGCCCGCTTGTTTTGTTATCAATTGGTAGTGTTTCATTTGACAGAATTATTCACATTTTCATTTCGTCTTATAAACTTTAAAATTTATGAATAATCAGAATATCGCTGACGCAAGTTCATCGTGCGATTGGTGTTCTCAAAACATTATCAGAAGGGCCGGATTGCTTTGATTAATTTTCACTCACGTGTCTCAGAGAGCAATGAATTCCTTGTTACGAAAGTAAACAACGAATGTCAGCATAGCAATCACCCTACCCCTCTCACAACTGAACTTTGCTTGCTCCCGAATGTTGGGATACTTTCACAAGCCCCTCAAAAAGTTTGGTCTACCCTTTGCTCATGAACAAATGTTTACAAGGAAGACAAAACATAACGAAAACGTGGCGGAACTGGAGGAGTTGGTGCACGGTATCCATTCCTCCCCTCTGAATCTATTTTGTTGTTGTTGTTGTTGTAGTAAATTTACTCCATTTTCTCAAAACAATTGTCGCATTGATTGCGTCACATTTGTAAGGAGTAATTCCATAAGCTCGGACAATTTTCTCGCCACCTCGATATTCAACCCAAGATCCATATATACTGTATGTGGATAGTATGCTCTGTATTCTATGTTTAGTGTACATGGCTTTTCAAATCAAATGAAAGGGCACATGGATCCAAATCAGTGGCGTAGCATAGTGGGGGCGGCAGATTTAGGGGGCGTCAAAATTTCACAATAAATAATTATAATATCTTATTAAAAATTTGAACCATTTCATTTCACATTGTTGTCGCCTCTACGATTCGGACTGATTGAAACGAGCACGGAATCTTTAATTGCTTATTCTGTAACGACTTCAAGTCAATGTGTAATAATGACATCTTACTCATTGTAGCGACTGGCAACGACGTCTTACAGGCTTGTAGGGATTAAGCGTATTATATTTTGTGCTTGGATTGTTTATAACCAACAATTAGAGAGAATGACTTCTATTAATAGTGTTCAATATTGTATAATAACACCTGCATTACAGTATGGATAAGCCCCGTCAGGGAAATCTGTGAGTGACGCTTTGACAATTTAAAGAAAGTTTCATTGATAGATCGACAGTGGTTGAAAATTTTCCAATTCACATTAATTTAATCGTATACTATATGCATGCGACTTCCAAACTGATTTTAGTGCTCGTAAGTACGTGTAGTGATTGTTCAATTATTGAACTTTGTTGAAAATTGTATTGTTCGTTTACGTATACATTCGACTATGTATTAAATATTTTATTTATGTAATTGTATGTTTGGCTATCTGCTACGTTGTTGAAGCTTGTATATTTTACTCTTTTAAATTGAAATACCTAAATAATTAGGCGGCGGAATTTTTTTCCGCATTATAATCTAGCACCTTCACATAATCACTAAGGTCATGATAATATTTACTTCGAACATTTTTTTAAAGAAAAAGGTATTAGTGACAGATATAACAGTGGTTCTTTAAATCGAATTTGCTAACGAGATGCGCAGCCAGTACCGAAAGAAACCGAAATGAAACGAATATCAAAGCAAATAACAAACGTGTCAACTAACACAAACCTTCGCTACCGCACAATATAATCAAAAACCTAAGTTGCTTAGAGCGAGATATTCCCTAGTAGATTGAGTCCATATTACGTTCAAAATTATTTATTCGCGAGATAAGTGGGTATTGTGAGACCTACATAAATAAAATAGGGACTTTTATGCTGATTTTTATTTAATTATTGGAATTAATTTTGTTTCATTGATGTAAAATAAATATATTTTAATACCACAAAAGAGCGACCGTTGTTCTTAATTAGTATCAACAGATCACGTGGCAACGGAATGAAAAATTGAAGCATAAGATTGAACATAAAAAAGCACTAATACGAGCAAACTCATAAAATGTAACATTATAGACACATATCTATATGTTTTTGTACAGTAATCGCTAATAATGGCACAAATTTCCATGTTTGAGTGGAGCGGAAAGTAGTAAATTGGGCAACGCCGTAATGTCCTTGAGATGACATGACTGCTTAGGGCTCATGCTTCTTCTTTCGTTGTTTTGAATTACTTTCAATACATTCAATGTTCGTTGCGTGGTCGGCACGCGGTAAATATCAAAATCTGAGCGAATTGGCGGAAGGCTTATTTTCAAAGCGGAATTTGAGAGAAAACGAAATAATTTACGAGAACAGTGCCGCAATAAAAAGGTTTCAAATATATTTCAATGTTTGTTTCTCACTAGTTTTTATTTCTTGATGTACCTGAGCCAATGGTAGGACAAACCTTAAATTATTCGATTGCAACAAGATCAACAGTTTGGTTCTCTCCAACATTGTATAAAGTTTTATATTTAACTTGACTAAAATTGTAATCATTGACTCCTACTGTTCCTTATTATCCTTATTACAATATTTTTTTTTATTCTTTTCTGTTATTCCGCTATTTTATTTTTGCTTTGTTAATTAAACTGCATGATCAATTTTTTTATGTTTCAATAGTTTTAATTGAAATTTTACAACTATACATATATTTAATTTACTACAATTGCAATGTGCCATATTATTTCCTGCAGTGCGATTGTATAATTCATAGAAGCTATCTGCTGGTGCTCAGTGTAATGTTATATCATGTTATGATATTGATTTAGATGCAGATTATTGTGTAAAGTACGTATCGAACTAAAGCTGATAAAATGAAATTACTGCAACATATAATTCTGAGAGCTGTATTATTGAGACCTTCAATAATAAAATTATAACCTTGTTGGAGATAAAATCTTCAAAAGAGATTTGCAAGTGGCATAATCTTTTGTAATTGTTTGTCTTAATGTTACACTCAAAATGAAAAGAGGTTTAAATGTTTTGAAAATAAGACACGAGAACCATTCAAAATGCTACTACTGCTCAGGAAATGCAAACAATTAGATAAAATAAAGTGCTGAAGAGAAAAGGGGTTTCTATTAAAATCCTCAAACTACCAAAGGCTGAATACATCATTCCTCTTACAATTTCAATAAAATGTAATTATTTAATCTAGAGGAATGTACGAACTCTAGGGTCTTGTCACTCGATTTCAATGAAGCGCGTTGCGCGCGCGGTGTTGCCGAGATGCGCGTCACAGTCCCGACCTCTAGAAAGCGCGCGAACGTCTCCCTTTGGACTGACTTAGGCTTATAATTTTGCAAAATTCTCCTATTTGAAACGGTAGATTATCTTCAAGTTGCGCATATTGATTCTTCAAGATGTTGGCTACCAAACGAAGAGTTTTTAAAAATATGTTCAACAGTTAATTTTCTCACAATTTTAAAATGTCAGGTCGCCATAGGAACCCATGTTAAAATAGCAAACTTAACGGACTCGTTACGCGAAAACTAGGCGCTAAAATCGATTCAAACTTTAACAGAACATAGAAGAACCTCCCATCTTTCGATAAATACCATAAAAAAGGCATGTTAAACATAACACTTATCTCTCTAATCACCTTAACTCTGCTCTAGGGAACGCTTAAACCGGGATAGGTCGCGTCTTGCCCACGAACGTAACGGGTCGCGTGGTTGAAAACGGACCCCAGAGTTACTTCAATTGCGTACATGTCTTACAACATCATGAATTATTGTAATTCTGTATTTAAATTACATTTTTGTCGTTAACTTCATGAATAGAGTGTTTTTTAAAATTATTTTTATAAAAAATTCAACTACTTGATGCATAAAATTATAATTGTTTCCCATTCATGTAATGCAAAACAAGTTCATAAACATTAGTGTTTTTAACTGTTAATTTGACACTGAATGTGTTTAGTTCTGCAGTACATTTTTACACAATAATCATATTAATAGTAATGGATTTAGCAGATAAGAGATTAGGCGAAAGGTACTGATAACCATAAGAGTATACAATATTCTTATAAAAAACTACATTAAAAAATAAAACCTAGGGTCCAAATTCTTCCACCCCTCCTGGATTAATCACACACACAAGAGCTGGGGATGCAACATTGATGTCGATGTTTTTGAGCCAGTCGGTGTTTTAAACATCTATATATCGCCTATGTTTTTTTTTACCATTGATGTTTTGTGATCATTATTCATGTTTTTGACGTTTTGTTTGTTTTCATAATCACCATTTTGTAAATCTTAAAATAAGAAAAATTAAATGATTGTACTACTATCAGATTCTTTCAGACAAAACAAGCATTTGCACAACATTTATCGAGCTATTTCTTGCCCTAGATGACCCCGATGCCCTCCTAGCTTTTCTTACATCTTTTCTCATATTTCACATGTGGAGAGGCAGTCAACACGTCATGGGCGTAGGGCCTCCCTCTTCTTCCCTTACCCTTCTGTGGTGAACTATGGATACTCTTTTAGATGACCCCAGGCAATCAGGATTAGTTTTGTTCATTGTTCCTATTTTTTTACTTTGTTTTCAGTTAAATCTTCATTATATTTTAATAAGCAATGTCAGATTAAATTTTGTTGTGCACAAATTGTACAGCTTTCCTGATTAATAAAAACATTCAATTTTAAAGGGAATATTCTTTGCAAATTTTGTATAAAACTTTTTTTTTCTAAACATAACACAAATAAAGCTACAGTTTCGGAAACAGATCAGAACAAAAAAGTTGTAGTTTGAATATTCATATCCGATGGTGGGGTCTGGCTGGTGGCGACCATGATTCAAAATCCATAAAAAAAAATATTGTCTTTCAACTTTTTCCTTTAAACATTGGAATAATTTACTGTTAACAGTGCTTGTCAGAAAAGTCATAATAGTAAATACTGAAATTTGTTTGTAAATGCCACTTCCTTATCATCCCTGCCTCTTGGGCTGTCTTACCTCCATAATGTTCTTTTCTCCATTGTAATTCCCCAGTAATAATGTATGCCAAGTTTTGTTAATATGAAATTGTTCCCGCATTGAAAAGTTAGACTGGAACATGAACACATACATACACACATACATATATTTGTTTACATAATAATATTTTCGCTAATGGGTACATTTGTGAGGCAATGTTTATACGTATGGTGAAATAATTTTAATAGTATTACATGTTATAATAATTATATATATTATAAGTTGATTATAATTTCATGAACATGTGTATTTTTGCACCATTGTGGCTGAATGAAAAAATTGCTTTATTGAAAAGCTATTGCTCATTTATAAATTGGTTTCAAAAGAAATGTTAATCCAAAAGTTCTAGGAAATTTTATCCTCTTTAAAATTGGTTGGAATAATTTTTCTTCAGGACATAGGGTTACAGAGTTATAAAGGAAAACAGAAAAAATCCATTTTCTTAAGCCTTCTGGACTTAGTACAGGGGGAGGTCAAAAACTTCAGGTTTGAACTAGTGCGTGGATACATACACATACCCAAAGAAAAGGTTTTTATAACATTTTCCAGGTTAGGTACTTGCCAACTGGATTAGATTGTTCCATGGCACTACTTTTGCATGATTATTATGGTATCTTTTCGCAGAATGTGATGCAAAGCAAGGCAACCTCTGAACATGCCTATTTAGAGATGTGCATGAAGAACAGGTTGATGATGAAAATTGTGTACAAAACATGTGTCAAGTAAATTTTAGTTTGTGAAGAATTTATTAAGTCTGGACATATTAATTCACGTAGACAATGCCTACTTTGCCTATCCCAAAGAGCTGCTACTAAACTACAAACTCCCAAAATAATAACTCAAAAATGTGGCTGATAGCTGATGGTAAAACTAGCTCCCAAACATACTCAAAACGTCAAAAATGTTATTCTTCTTAAACAAGCAAATTTTGGCATTTTTTGAGACAGTTTTCAAAATTTTGAAAATTTTAACACATGCATTTGTTTTCAATCTTATAAATAATTTTTGGATTTTATCCACTTAAAAACCCTTAATTATAGAGTAAAAATTGATAGCCGTTTAGTATTTTATCATTTAATAATATTGAAATGTTTCTTCCCTTTTTTATATTGTTATGATAAGGATAACAAAAGGCCTTCTCAGTATTAATGCAAACTTTTGTGAGTGATGCGAAACGTGAACTGCACATGTGCAGAAGATTGATACCGCTGTTGATTGCTATAAAGCTTTGCTGTGCAAAAACTCCCTAGTAACACACAAGAGGAGGAAAGATTGAGAGATCCTCCTTAAAGTGACTTCGATAGAGTTTGATTGTTTTCACATAGCTTAAATGCACATGTAGTTTAAAACCCAACCAATATAAATTCCCTTGTAGATATCAACTCGAAAATTATATATTTTCCCTCAACATTGTATTAAATATATTATTTGATAATTGTTATTCAGAAGAAGATGAGAATATGTGAGGAGGATGTTCCTTCCTTCCTTCCCCGTGAGAAATGACCACTGACTCCAACACCTTTCAATGCAATGATCTATCATGAAATCAATTGACTGTATATACTTTTAATTCACCTATTCTACTCTCTATCTCAAATCATGCCCATGGATATCCAGAATTAACAAAGCCACCACATGAATTGCAATTGAAACACATTTTAAACAATAGTTGGAAAGTTGTAATAAGTCATAATCATCATCATCATCATCATCATCATCATCAAATGGTGCACTGTTTCATCCTTGAGCAAATAAGTTTCAAAATTAATTTTATTCAGATATCTAAAAGCTACATTCAGAGAATAATTTGAAATAAGTAATTTAGAATAATATTTACTATTTTCTTTTCTTATCACACAAAAAAAAAAAAATAACATGTCAGTGTACAGTCACAATACTCTAGAAGTCCTTCAAATTAATTGTATGCATATTATACAAATCAAATGTGTACCGGAACAGATTTGATATCATAATACCAGATTTTACATCATAATGAGTTAGATATTATATTACCACATACAAATTGTGACCAAAAACAAATAAGGAAATGAAGAAATAAAAGGTACATGGAAAGTATTGTACATTTTCCACAACATGCCCAGATTTGTGATAATACTCGGAGCTTAACAGTAAAGAAATTGTCATGTTTTCAGTCTTTTTTAAAGGCATTTGATGGTCATATTTAGTAATATTTTTGTATTATTTAATCACATTAGTAATATATTTTGACTGACATGATCACATGCCTCACTGTTTCTAGCGTCTTGGAAGTTCAACCCATTCATGTTTAAATATAAGGTTACATGAAGAGTTGTTTTGGGCCTCACATTTTTAGTTTTTAATAGTTTTATTTTCCTAAAAGACTTGTTGCTCTCGGATGCTTTGAGAATCTGAAAATCCCTCTTTACTTTGTATACATGTATACATACATACAATCCCTCATTACTTTGATTATTCAGTGTCAAATATTGTATCAAATTAGCCATTTGGGTGTAAATAATGGTGCGTAAACAGCCGCGTTTATATTCCAAATGGCTTTCAAGTACAGACAACAAATAGCAAAGTTAATTCATTTATACATTATTGCATATACAGCTTGTTTTGTGTAAACAATGGTATATTGCATTTTCCTGTTAAATGGAAAATATCAGACACCGTTTATTACACCCAAATGCTTCAAATAATACTTGAAATTATTTTGTAAATTAATTTAGTCAGTGTAAAACTATGTATCTATTATCTTATACTATGATCTTATTAAAATTTATATTTTCTATTATGACTCTCAAAAAAAGATTATATGTACATTAATTTTAATTTGCTCTTAAAATGATAGACAAATTTTGTAATAGTAATGTAATTAAATTAATTAAAACCTTTTTATTTCAGGAACCAGAGAAAACAAAAAGAGCTGAAACTGTGGAAATGAAAGAGGAGAAATCATCTGGTTATCAAAAGCTACATTCCATTAATGAACAGGAGTGTCATTCTGCATCAATTCCGGGTGCTCTTCCAGTTCCAGAAAAAAGCCCTGAAGTTGTTGAAAAGCAACCTCAGGTTGAAGATGTCGAACCGTTGCTCTTATCACCACATGGATTAGTTGTTTCAGTACATGATGAAAGAGATAACACAATTGATTCAAATGCTTCACCAATTGCTGATGAGGAAGTGTCACTACCAAGTATTGAGGAAGAGCAAGAACCAGCTGTAAAGAAAATACAGGAAGACAAGATTGCATTTCATGTTGCCTCTCAAACCGGAGATAGCCTTAGGGAACCGCCCCCATCTATTCTTCCAGTTTCTACTAAGGATGTGGCAGTGGAGTTCCATCAACCAGTGGATTCACAGGTTCAAACAATGGCATTGACTACAACAAGTGCTCAAATGACTGAAAATATTCCATACGAACAACATAGAGAAAAAATAAAAATTCTGAAGAAATTTGATGATCACGAGGAAGTAGTTGAAATAGCTACTGGACATCCTTCTGAACGCTTGGACATATCTGCTGTTGAGGGTGATAGACATAGAGAGATTTTTGATGATAGTGATGATAATTTAATGGTAGAAGTAAAATTTAAGGGGAAAAAGTCTAAAGAGAAACCTATACTTCAACTTGTTAGAGATCCTGATGAAATGAGCACTGAAGTAATAGTAGAAGCTGAAAGAAGGAAGAGGATTGTGTTGAAGACTTCTCATTCTGGTGATACTGAAGTTCATGTGATTGATGATAAACATTTAAGCAAAGATCACTCCCCTCCTAAAGACAAACCTTCAGAAATTTCACCAGAAGTTAAATTCACAATGCCTGAAAAAGATACATCAAAACAAAAAGAACTGTCTGACCCTCAAGATATGGATCTGAAATTAAGTGGTAGAGAAACTGTTGAACTGGACTCATCTCCAGAGAAGGGAACAATTGAAGAATATCAGTTTCAGTCAACCCCTGATGAACCTCTCACAAGGTCAGTTGATGAAAAGCTGGATGTCAAGGAAAAAGACCTTCCTGAATATGTACCTGAAGAAGAAAAACAAGAAAAAATTGTTCATATGGGTATTGGGTTGGCTGTGACTGAAATAAGTTCAACTTGTCTAAATATTTCTGACATACCAGCAGAAAACACTTCTGTAAAAGAATCTGAAATTACTGTGTATGAGGAATCTGAGGGAGTACCTGATTCCTCTGAAGATGTCATGAAGCTCTCAAGCCTTCAGGTGATTAATGATAATAACATAGAACCATGTGAAGGTCAAAAGTTACTTCAAGAAGGTAGTCAGACACAAGAGGGATTTTCAGGATCTCCTCTTACTAAAGACACTGACATAGCAAATGAGCCAGTGACTCCTGAAAATGTCAGTGAAGAACATCCTGATGATGAATATCCAGAATTATCACGGGTAAAAGAATCCACTGCATTACCAGACACTGATGATATATCTATAGAAACTTCTTTAGCTGAATCTACAGAAATAATTGTATCAACTGAGGGTGATAAAAATTCTTCAGATACTACCAAACCTACTGAACTGGAAATAGTATTTTTAGATACATCCTGTGTACAGTCACCGATGGAGTTTGATAGTACACACTCACAAGAAACAGGTTATGATCCTGAAGATATTTCATCTGAAGTATCTATCCCTGAAAAAAAGAAAAAGAGAAGAAAGAAGAGAGCAAAACAGATGAGTGAGGTACCACAGACTGTAAAAGAACCGCAGGTTCAAGATGACATCCATGAACTAACAACCATGACATTATCAAGGGTTGAAAGTATAATCACAACAGATAAAGAGGAAAATGTACAAACAGATTATCAACAAGCTTTACAAACTACAACAGCCACAATTTCAGCAAAATATATTGACGATCCTGGTGAAGAAACAATATTGACAAACGATGAAACTGATAATTTGAAAGAACAGGATAATGTGGAGGAAATTATGAGTCAAACAGAAACAGCTGAGGAACATAATGAAATTTTGGATATTTGTCTCCATCCTGAGGTTGTTCCCCAAATTGTGATGACAGACTCTTCAGTACAGGCCACTGTGTCAGTGGCTGTAGAAACTGTGCAGACAATTTCCCCTGAGCCTTCTCCTAAAGAAATTCAGAGCAATGATTTTATTTCTGAAATTGATACGCAGACATCACCTGCACCAGAAACATTTGATATGGGAATGCAAACATTATCTCCTGAATTTAAAATACAAGATTTTCAAACCTGTGCTACTCAGGTCTCTTCTCCTGAATCTGTACCTGAAAAACAAGAGAGTGAAATAACACACAGTGCCACTCAAGTTACTACTGAAACTGAAGAGGGTTATATGCAGACTTCCCCCATAGAACAAATTATTTCTGATGTTGCTGATGTTTCTTTACAGACTGTTATCGACACTAATGAAACCCTTGACAGTTTTGTTCAAACATCTCCTGTCCCTGAAGTACCAGCGCCTACAAATATTCAGCCTGAAGATTCAAATGGTGTTCATGAAGAGCAAATTTCACCTGAATTACAAGATCATGTACCCTACATTGAAAAAACCGAAGAAGCCCCTCTAGCCATTGGTGGTGTAACTGTTAGTTCTGTGACAGAAACTGTTCATAGTTCTATGCAAACCACAGATATGCCAACAATATCATGTGAAAGTCAAACTTCACCAGATGGTTTCAAAGATACTGAGAGAATGCCTACAGCAACAGTGAGCATGCAAACCAACTCTGAGACAGTAATATCTGCAGATAGCTATATGCAGACTTCTCCAATGGATTCATTTCAAATGGAAACTATAAATGCATCAATTCAAACTGAAACTAGTAATACAGGAAATATATCAACTCAAGCAGATATAGTATTGCCATCTGAGGGCATTACTGTGGATATTCAAACAAATAAGGATGAACTTACTCCATCAGTAGAAATGTCTATGCAAACGGACATAGCAAAACTTCCTGTAACAGAAACCACTGACACTATCAGTCAGACAATTCAGTCAGGTTCTGGTACAATGCCTGGATCAGACAGTTGTATCCAGACAACAGTTAGTGAACTGATTCCGTCTGTTGAAGGTTCTACTCAGACTAATCTTCAGCCTAGTACTTTCATTGATTCCAGTGTTCAAACAAATAAGGAACCTTCGACATCTGAACAGCCTCTACATCCTGAATTTGCCACTTCACCCAAAGAGCCACAAACTGAGAGAGAAAAGGATGCTGATAAACAAGAAAGAAATGAATCATCATCTGAAGAGCAATTAGAAGTAAATATACAAGCATCAATTGTCTTCCCAACTGAAAGGACTACATTAGTAGCTCAAAAAACTGTGAACAAACAATCATCACCTGCTCCACAAGATGACAGAGAACCAACTCATGCTGAAAAATCATTGAAGAAAAGACACAAAAAGAAATCGAAAAGGAATGACAAGGGTTCTGCTAATAAAAAGCCTGAGACAACTGAAAAGTTGTCAGTTGCTGATGTAGAGCGATTTGTGGACATTAGACCTTCTTCAGGTCGTGAAATAAATGATTTGAAACCTCAACCTTCTGAACAGGTACCAGATGCGAAGGAACTTCTAACTCCAAAGAGAACTGTTGATGATGATGCTGAAGAGATTGTTAGTAAGTCTTTGGATGGAAAGGATCCATATAGTCAGGTGCACATTCATGACTATACAAAATCTGAAAATGCTAGTGAAAGGTTTGAAAGACAAGATGTTCAAGAATTAGTTATGTCACTAAAAGATAATGAAGAAATCTCCCTTAAACAAGATAAGCCTATTGTGATTGAAGCAGATAATGTCGTTTATAAGATTGAAGATTCTGTAGTAGCATCTGTTCCTGATTCAGTTATGAAGGAAGAAGACATTCCTTTAAAAGTTGAACCTCACTCAGCAAATATTGATGATGATGTACAAAAAGTTGATCTCATCATTGAGACCCAATCAACAAAGAATGGGAATGAAATTAACATACAGGTTCCTGAAACTTTATCTGACAATGTGTCAAGAAATTTTGAAATAATTCCTTCAGAACAAAGTTCAGAAAAATCAGATTTGATTACTGCAGAAGAGTGCTACCGAAAAGAAATATGTTACCCAAAAGAAAATGAGTGGAAACAGATGCAGTGTCTTGTTGCTGATCGTGTTCGTAAATTACAAAAAGAAAGACATACTACCCATTTATCTGGAGTTCTGTACTTGGCAACTCTGCAACAAATTGTAGCTGATGAATCCTTTGAACAAAAGAATAGTGCTTTTCAGGACGATATCATTACATTAAGAGACGCAGTTGATTCAAAGGACAAAGCTGTTATTCAACGATCAGTTATAACTATTGTGGAAACAGTATCCACTTGGTTGGAAAGTATTGAATATCATGTGTTGCTTAATTGTCAACTTAGAACAGCTCCTACAAAAGACCATATTACAGAGTTGGGAAATTTAAAACAAGAAATCATCAACGTAGGTGAGAAAGTTGAAGGTTTGAATTCAGTTATGGAAAATGTCTACACAATGTTTGATGGTGATGATGCAAGTAATATGAAACAGTGTATATCAAGTTTACAGAATCAAGTGGAGGCAATGAAAGAAGTGACAGATGAGAAAGAACAACAAGCTACCAAAGACTTGAATCGCTGGGAAGAATTCCTCAATGGTGTCAATAATGTAAGTGTTTTAATAGAAGAATTGAAAGAACACTTAGACCAACTTGTGGAGACAGATTTATATGTTCATAGAAAATTAGAGCTGCTGGATCATATTGAATCAACTAACCATTCACACCAACAGAAAACAATCCAACTGATGAATAATGCTTGGGCTCTGTTATGTGATTTTCCTGGACATGAAATTCCTCCTGAACTCTATAGTGCTTATGAAACCACCCGATCAATAGAGCATTCTGTAAAGTTAGAACGAGATCGACAATTGCAATTAATTGCCCTAGCCGATGAATATGAACAGACTTTAAAAGAGTTTGCCCAGATAGTCGATGTTGCTGATGCGCTAGTGGAAAGTTCAATTGTTGTTTCTAGTCTTGAACACTTACAGGAGGAAATGCAAAAGCATCGAAAGTTTTTTGTCAATTTGAGTCATTGTCGCTGTATACTGGAATCGCTGGAAGGAAATCTCGATACAGAAACTCGTAACAAACATTCAGGCCTTCATCAACAATTACACACTCGTGCTTCTGGGATATTGGACAAAGCTGCAGGACGTGCTCAACAAATGGCTCTTGCAGCTTCAAGATGGACTGTGCTGGAACAGGGCATGAAAGAAGAGAGAAATTGGCTGCAAGTTGCTCATCAAAGAGTGCCAGATCTTCAAAGTGTGACTTCTTCAGAATATAACCAATATATTTCTCTCTATCAGGTAGGTGTTAAAACTGTAATATTTTCAAATACATTGCTATCAGCTATGTACAAAATAAATTTCTTTTAATGCTTTTGGTATAACGTTCTTGATAACTTCTTGACATTCATTTGATAATTTTTATTCATCATTTTGATAATTGTGTTTGTTTTTAATAGAATTCTGGACTTTTTGGCTAAAAAAAATCTTGGCGAAAAAGTTAAATAATGTGCCTTTTCTTATTCCTACAGTCTCTTTCTGCTGATGTGGCTGTTCATCATGGTCACTGTGCTCAACTTATTGAAGTGGCAAGACGACTCCAAGAACTAGTACTATGCCCAGGATTGGAAGCACGTTATGATGAACATCTAGAAGTTATTGCCAAATTGCAGGAAGACATTAATAAGAATCTGCACTGCCTTCTATCATTTAGAGATACGTGGAGGAACTATGTGACATTAACAGAAAAATTATTTCAGTGGATGATATATGCTGAAAAAGAATTAGCTAATATATCATCTGAAGATCAACGTCCAGGGACCAATATGAAACACTTTTGGGTATGTACAATGAAACAAAATATTGAATTTATGATAAGTCATTAGTAGTATGTGTTGATAATGACTGATCTCCAAGGAATGACATTTTTTAGATACATTTTGCTTACCTTATTTTTTTATGTGGTCCTATTACTATTAAAATTGTTATATTTGTAATTGAACTTCTAATTTGTGAACATTATATACAAGAAAGTTATGATTGCAAATATTATCCTCTTGAATTTGTTTTCTAGGAATTGAAAGCACAGTATGAAGTACACAATAACATACGAAATGAAGCCAGTAGTAATTTCAATGCAGCAATGAAAATCATTCCCGTTGCTGATGAGAATTTGCAATGTCAGCTTAATGCAAAGTTGGAGGAAAGATGGTGGAATGTGTCCTCTCAAATACAGAATATTCAAACTGCAATCTTAGAAATTTTAAGCAATCAAGAAGTCCCAGTTAAAGATAAGTTAGCAGCACTGCAACAAGAACTTCAAGAGCTTCAGTCAGCACTGAACGATACTCATAGAGTTATCAAAAAAGAGGAAGAATTGGAACTGTATATTCAGCGAATGCAGGTAAATGCAGATTAAAATTAAGATTCAGAATTTAATGCCATAACGTAAAAACAATACAATCCAGGACATCTTTGATAATTTGGGGTAAAGAGGGTAGGGGGAGTTTAGGAGCATGTCATAAGGATAGTGTAACGCAACAAAATTAAAAATAACAATACATCATGTAACAATGCATGGATGGAGATAACATATATCCTCATATAGTATGAGCACAAAATATACTACATTATTTAATATAACCTGGGGTCTTCAATATAAAAACGTAATAAATACAGTATTCAGAATTTTTATGCAAAACATAATAATATAATGATTATGATTTCCAATAACCCAAAGAATGATCCATTTGAAACAAATACCATGAACATGTTGCTAACATGATGATGTTGGTAAATGTATTGTTTATACCTTTAAAAAATGTAACATCTTGCACAATTTTTCAAGTTACATGAAACTCAAGATATCAAGCACTGACTGTTTTGGTAGATATATGTTCTTTCTCTTCCTGTCCAGTTGACTTAAGTTTTGAATCATATAAAGTCTATCAGAAGGCATAAATTACTTTTATTGACCCATTTTGTATTGCACAACTCGAAATGAAATATTTTTAACCTAGCTTCTTTAGGACTTCCCTCTGCTTGTGTATTGCCAATTAATTTCCAATTGACTGGAAAGGCTATCATGTCCTACGTAAAACATTTTTCTTTGAGATGAATTTTAATGAAATTTAACATATTCTCTATAAAAGCATCAAAATATATCTGCACATTCAAATGACTTGATAATAATAATTTTATTGTAATTTTTGTCAAAATTCAAAAAAATTTTCACATGGGTGTATTTCAAAATTCTATGACTGTCCCTGCAAGTCCAAATTAAAATCTGTGCAGCTACAGCAAGTTCCATGGAAATATTTGCCATAGAAGTTGTAAATGTTTGTGACCCACATGTGGTTAACAGACGTATTAAATCCATCAACTGTTACATTTTGTGAATCTCATATTGCTCATAGGTCAGTGAACATGTTAATGTTATGTATATAGGTATGCTATTTCTCACATGACACAAATTACTCATATCTTATTTCTGCATTCAGCTAGACATCAGTCAAAAGATGAAGTTAAGCAACAATGAAACAAAGCATCCCCTCATTAAAAGCGTTCAGCCATTAAAAGAAATGTTACGAGTTTTGAGATATATCACACTGATATTGTACTGATTGAAGGGTTTAAATATATAAACAAATTCTAAATAATTGTATGCGTTAAGTTTCAATTTCATTATTGTTGCGATAATTGCATAATATATTTCCAAAGTGTAAGTGATATTTTATAAGCAAGATTGCATAAAAATATTTGATATTGTTAAGAAAATAAATATGATTAAAACAAGACTGATTTAGTAAGAATTTACAAAGAAAAATATTTATGTTAAAACATCTTTTTCTTATGTCTTTATGGAAGGATGACATTATAAAATTTTTGTTTCTATGTTTGTAGGTAATGCTTGGAGGTGTTGAACACATACAAGAAGAGCTAAGTCGACTGGGTCTTCTGTCAGTTGACGAAACAGAGAAAGTTGGCATTTTATTGTGTGGAGCAGGAAATATTGAGTTACAAATAAAGGAAGAGTTAGAAGGGGCAATTCTGCTGCGTGAAAAAATCAATGCTATTCAAAAAGGTTTGAATAGAATTCGCCGAAGCTATGAACGTGCTTCTAATGTTTTAGATCAATGTGAAAAAGGTGTAAATCAGGGACAAGATGCAGTAGAACAGGCTCTGAGAAATTGTCAAGTGAGTATCCAAGTTAAAACTACAAAAGTAATACAAATGTTTTTATATTTAATATCTGCAGAACAAATATTAATATTTTTTTTAATATTTAAACTTACTTAGGGAGTTTGTGATGAACTCACTACTCTGTGGCAAGATGTAATGGACTTACGACAACTTCTTCATACGCTTCCTATGAGTCTTCATCTTTCCATATCTCCTGTTCATTTGGAAAGAAATATTTCACAAGTTCAAGACCATCATACTGCTTTGGAGTCTCGGAGTGCTCATCTTCTTTCTTTGCTGAAAAATAGATTGACTATGTGGCAACATTTTGAACAACAGTTGGAGTTAGTTCAACAATCTGTACAAGAAACAGATTATATGATGGAATTATTAACAGTTCAAGGATCAGTGGATTATGATCGTTTAGTGAAGGCAACAGAATGTTTAGAGGTAAGAAATAAGAATTTTTTTTCTTCTGGTAAATAAGGGATTTTGTTGTTAAATCGTTAAAACAATCCTTTACACAATGGAAAAAAAATATGTTTATTGAGGTCTGTTGTGTAGTAGATGCAACATAAATATGTAAAACTCAATTGCATCTTCCGTAATTACTAGGGTTGTTGATTTGTAAATATGAAAATTGAGATTGAAATCTCGGATTTACATAGAGGAAAAACTTTTTCTGATTTTTATCCCCTAGTGTTAAGGAAGAGCATAACTTCCATCATATCTGCAATTCAAATATTACTAGATTCTTTTGTGTTGTATTTACCACTTTACCCCAATATTAAAGATAAATTTTATGTATATTAGTTTCTACTATACAAAATTGGGGATGTAACTGGAGGGGGGCAGACCTCTAGTTATCCCAGCCAGTAAATAAGCTCAAAAATGTGCATTTCAGAAACACTCTTTTACCTTTTAAGTGTTTTTACTTTGTACATGATAGAGAGGAGTTGTATTAGAATTTGTGCAAAAATTCAAGGTTGAGATTTCACTGATAAAATGCTTTTTGAGTATCCCAAGATGAAAATCATGATGTGTGAATGGATTATTATTAGTGTGTGTGTGTATCGTACATAACTTAAGTAGATTAGAAGATGAGTTCTAAGATGGTACACACGTGAGGTGTAAGGGCTGAGAGAGCTTTTCGAGAGATCTTTTAAGGGATGTGTAGGTGGTAAGGAGTTATGTTCAGTTCTTTTGTACCCCCTCCACCCCCCAAAATAAAAAAGGTGTAAAAATCATAAATATTGCTTCTTTAGTCTAAAATATGGGAGTTGGGACATTGAGGAAAGTGATTATGTTGGAACCCCTGACCCCTACCACATTGTCTAGTCTGTAAGACTCTCTTGGGTTCAGTTAGTGGGAAAACAAACATGTTTGAAATAAAAAGTGCCAAAAACAGTAAAATGCTTGTTTTACTTAACTGACAATGGGGACGGTGCAATTGGCAGCCAGACCACTACGTTTCAAATGAAAGGTGTCAAGAATCATAAAATTTCACAGTTTTATCAAACAACTGCTCATTAATACTAAGACTACGTCGCTGGTTATGAATACCCTAATTTATTACTGACATTTGTGGGACTTCTGAAATAATTATTACCTAAATTATTTGATTTCCTCCAATTCATTGCAATATTCAAAGTCTGCATTTTGTGACTCTTAAGGCAAGAAATATTTTCGATATGCAATGCATTTCCTTGTTTTAATCAAAGTCTTGAGTGGTCAAAAAGTGTATTATACCTTCTCATCTTCATTCAATGTAGTCAGCTACATTCCAATACATCAGTGATCTCTGAATACGATTTGAAATCTTTTTCTGGGGCAATAGCTTGTATCCAGGCAAGGATCCCTGGAGAGGGAAATAAAGGAAATCCCCCCTCCCTAAATTTTTTCAGTAAGTATTAATTTTAACTTGTCATGAAACTTTCAATCAAAAATATTTTCCGATAATTATTAAAAAAAATAAAATTGTATTTCAGCATGAGCTGAGTGTAGCCTGCAACATTTTACAAAATCTGTAATATGACACATTCAGCCAAAACATTTTGAATTTCGTCTCCCACAATTCATCAGTAGATCCGCCCCTGTTGTATTCCTCAATGAGTAGCAGATGAGTTTTCCAAGGTAGTACATGATTTTTATGTAAATACTGTGTAAGTACTAGTCATTTGCTAGTAGAAAAATAAAATAACGTTTTAAAATCTGAATTTTATAAATTGATAGGGCCCTATCCAGCAGAGGCTCTGAACTCTTGTTTAGCCTGCTTCTGCACTAATCCACGCCGTGCTTCCACCATTGCTGTTCGAGACGGTAAAAAGTAGTCAGGGATACTCCATTGGCAACTTCTACTCGGCTAATTTGGAAACGTAGATTATCCATTGTACTAACGGTTATTCTTGGGACTCTGTTTGGCCTTGTAGGTCGATGCCTATTCTGAGATTCCTTCTCCCAACGTTACGATGTTATCCGCGAGTGGACGCCCCTACAGAGCGTGTGTGCTGAGCTCTGGCAAGACAAGTATTCTTTACCGCCACGTTCACGCCTTTTTTTGCTTGTTGAAAGGCGGCATGTTGTGAAGACGCAAAAATTTGTATTCGTTTTTTCCATACTTATGTGATACTGAATTTTTTAGTTTAATAAAAAATAGTATTTTAGGGTACATTAGTTATCGCCGAAACGGGAATATACAATTTTTCTTCAGTGAAAAGCAAATTTCCTAGTATTTCAAAATGTTTGTACCACAGTCAGTGGGGTAGCGTGACTTTATTCCCAAGGGAAGTTGTGTTGAGCTGTGGGTCTGTGACGAAGTGTGATGATCCATGGGCCCGAACATAATTCAGAACGTATAATTTTTTGTTAATAGATATGCGAAAATTGAAATTCATCAAGTTTTAAACTTTGCGGGCTTTTAAATGACTCAAACCGATATGAAATCACTGACGAGCTTAAGGTGACCAGACATCCCGTATTAACCGGGACAGTCCTTTTTCTGTGTCCCTGTCCCGTATTTTTTGAAAGGAAACCGGGACGCCAAAATGTCCCGTTTTTGTGACAATGATTAATCGGCATAAAGTGCCGTCAACAATTTTCAATTTTCCATAAGGTATTCCGTTGGGTGTGCATTAGTTTATAAGACAGTAAGCGCGAGTAGATCATGCGCTCGTGTAACTTTTAACAAGTGTGTTTCACAGACTATTGAAATCAAGAAGGGAGATAATCAGTGGTGGTTCTAGGAAGCGAAAGTGAAATTTCGCGTTATTTGATTTGATATCGATATCTTTACCGAGAAATGCAATAATCCCAACATTCTGCTTCCTAGGGTTTCTGCGCGACTTGCCAAGCAATCTTAATTAAGGAATACGAAAAGTTAATGTGCCGTTTCCCGTTTTGTTCCGTTTTTTAGTCAAGACAAAGTTTCAATCTCCCGTTTTTTGGTTTTTAAGATCTTGTCATTTTAGTGACCTTGAGAGTCCTCTTTTCTTCTGTTAGGGACGTTTCTGTCAACTATTGTAACTCAACGGCCACATGGCCAATTTATCTCTATGTCCACATCTTCAAGGGTCACGCGTTTCACTGCTTGGGCCGCGGAAGCCTTGTCATCAATGCAGGACGTTATTTTCCCACTCACATACGCAGATTCACTTTACCCCCATTGTGCCCTAGTGTTTGTTGACAAAACATAATTTTGGCAACAGCTAACTTTACACTAAGAATTAATCAAGTGTACATTTTGAATCAATAAATTTAATATCAAATGAAAACAAATTCTCTAAACATCATAAATAATACATTAAATGCCGTCAGTAGTTGGCTGAACTTGTGTACTTTCAATAACACGCAAAATTCATAAAATCACGCTGCAGCGAGTCACACGTAGACAGAATATTATTCCCCTAGGACTCCCTCCGTCGCCACGCTGCGCTAACTAGACAGCGCAACCCCTCGGGATGCATCACCAATAGGCCGTATGTTCCCCGTGTTAATTAGAAGGGCCAAAGAGTAAATGCAGTAAACCCAGTATTACACGCAAGATCCAAGAGCGTGGTGCAATATCTGGCAAGACACCAGACGGAAAAAGTGCCAGTTGGACGCTCTTTGGTTTCAAAAGATTTCTTATACATCGATATTGCTGTAATATCTTGAATATTGAATGTCATTAAAAGGAAATGTATATTCCTAAGATATTATGAGATATTTTTCGTTTATCTGAGGGTTGTGCAACCTAAGCACGAGCCGCCGCTGCTTTACTTTAGTACAAGATGGCCATGCTGTAAGTAATTCAAAATGAACATCGCGGTGGCTCGAGAGTATTTGGGAAGAACTTCCACTGTGGACGTGGCTTGACGCTGCTGAGATTGGGTAGTTCGCATTAGGTGCCTGGTACTCAATAGGTTACATCTGTTTAGTTAAGTTTCTGAACTGTGACCCAACAGTAACTTCCAGAGTATACTGATATTCAGAAAATAATTTGGGATAAACGACACATCAATTTGAGATGAGAGTCCAAAGAAAAGTAAAATATTTTTTTCCATTTTTAAATACAAAGATGCTTTCAAATTGAAAGGGAAGGGGTGCTTCCAACTCATCCATGAAGGTCCCTGACCACGGTAAAGCTGCAGTGAAATTTGTACTATTGCACTGACGAGATACCGGTACTTGTCATGAAACCAATAAGGTAATATTTTGATGTTACTTAAAAACGACAATTTCAGTAATTGTTTATTAAAAGCGTAAATCATCGTAAACAATAGTCTATTTTCGTTTTCAATGTAATAAATACGTACCTACATAATAGTTTCTGTTGTCCTGATTGTGTATTAAGATTCCCCGACATGATGTTATAAAATGTAAATAAAAGTACTCCAAGTTTATTTATACTATTTCAACAATTACTATAATAGATACATATTTAAACAACGTCAAAATATCGTCTCAGTGGTATCATGACTTCAATTAATTTAAAGTATGGTGCAACTTTTCGATCAGAAAAGGAAAATCCTTAAGTTTCAACGATGTTGTTCTCGCGCAGTCCGTTGCCCGTTGTTTAAAGTGCTACACTATCAATCGTCTGGAATTGACATTAAACATATTGTATTATTATTCTATTGTTTGATTAGTGTCTGATTAGTAGCGCTGAACACACACAGGGAGAGAGAGAGACAGACAGACAGACAGACAGAGAGACAAGAGAGAGAGAGAGAGAGAGAGAGAGAGAGAGAGAGAGAGAGACAGACAGACAGACAGACAGACAGAGAGACTGACAAACAATCAAACAGACTTCAAATGACCTCTCACGAAGCTGCCAGAAATATCAACCATTTTCGAGTGTAAATATTCTCTTTCGTCTTCGTATAAATAATAAGTCTCCGTCGTGTAGCAAGGGTTTAACGTTGTGGTCAGCTAATAGGAAGTGCGACTGTTGGACTGCCAGGATGGGCGAA